TCGCATTCCATTTTGCCCTCGCTCCCGTCTGTACACCCTTCGTGTTCCTCGCCTCCCCTCCTGTCAGGTCATCTCTCGTCCTCCCCTCCACCCTCTCATCCCACCCCCTCCTCTCCCTCCCACTAACCCGGACCTCCCTTCACGCCCCCCCCCTGACTCCTCTTGCTCCTGTCGCTCCCTCTCCCACCCTGCCGTCCTCCTCCATCACAGGCTAGGTCACCCTAACTTCGCTACTCTACGCTCCTCTGTTTCCTCCGGTCTCCTCCATGGTCTCCCCTCCTCCCTCCCTCCTCTCCCCAAATCCCCTGCCCCCCCCTGCACCGTCTGCGTTCAGAGCAAGCTCAAGCAGCAGCCGCACCGGAGCTCCCCCTCCGCTGCTGCTCAGCCACTTGATCTTGTTCACATGGACCTCTGGGGCCCCAATCCCTCTCCCACTCGCCAGGGCCATCGATACCTCCTCGTACTCGTCGATGATCACAGTCGGTACTCGTCCGTCTCTCTCCTTCGGACGAAGGCAGATGCCCCGGCTGCGATCATCGCCTGGCTCGAGCGAGCAAACACCCATTTTGGGCGCCCTGTTCGCCGCCTTCACTCTGATGGTGGTGGTGAGTTCCTTAACAACCAAATATCCTCCTATTGCCAGTCTCATGGCATTCTTCAGACTTACACCCTCCCTCACTCCCCACAGCAGAACGGTGTGGCTGAAAGTCGTGTTCGAGAGATCACCAAAACTGCCCGGTGTCTCCTTGTCCACGCCTCCTGCCCTCCTTCTCTGTGGGGCTACGCCCTCCTTCATGCCGCCCTGCTTACTAACCTTTACCCTCACCCTCTTCTCCCATCCACCACCCCCACTGAGCTGTGGACGAACAACAAGCCTGATGTCTCATCTCTTCGTGTCTGGGGCTCAAAGGCTTATGTCCTTCTTCACCCCGCTGACCGCTCCCGTTCTATGGGAAAGCTTGCCCCTCGTACCCTTCCCTGCATCTTTCTTGGTCATAACTCCTCCTCACCTGACTACCTTTTCCTCCATCCCCCCTCAGGTCGTCTATTCCGCAGTAGGGATGTGGTCTTTGATGAGTCCACTCCTTACTACTCCTCTCCCCCATCCACTGACCCACTCCCCCGTCTTCCCCGTCCCCTTGTCTGGTCTGACACCACCCCTCCCCCTCTACTTCCTCCTCCCCCCATCCTCCCTCCCCCTCCCCCACCGTCGTCCTCGTCCCACGGTGCCCCTCCCTTGTCTGGTGATATATTTGACCCGGAACCTCTGTCCTCTCCCGTCTCCCCCACACATTCCTCTCCTAGTGCCCCTCCCGCCCCTCCTTCACCTCCCTCGCTGCCGACTCGTCCTTCCCCCCCTCCCCGCACTGTACTAACCCGGTACCCCCATACCAGGTCACAAGACAGTATCCTTGGTGCACCGCCCCCTGTTACCCTCTCTACCTCTACCCTCCCCCCACTCTCCCCTCTCCTTCACCACTTCTTCCAGGCTGTTCTGCATCAACCTCCCCCTGCAGCAGCCCCCGCCGCCACCTCTCCAGCAGCGGCGCCAGCAGCAGCACCAGCAGCACGACCAGCAGCGGCACCAGCAGCAGGACCAGCAGCGGCACCAGCAGCAGGACCAGCAGCGGCACCAGCAGCAGGACCAGCGGCGGCACCAGCAGCGGCACCAGCAGCGTCACCAACAGCGGCACCAGCAGCAGGACCAGCAGCGGCACCAGCAGCAGGACCAGCAGCGGCACCAGCAGCGGCACCAGCAGCGGCACCAGCAGCGGCACGTGCAGCAGCACCAGCGGCACCAACGGTCATCCGCTCCTTCCACACCTCCCTCTCTGAGGACTCCCATGAGGAGTTCCTTGACCTCCACCTCTGTGACCCTTCCCTTCTACCCATCACCTTCGACCTTTCTGGGACACCTGTCTTCGCATTCTCCTCTGCTCCCTCCGTTTTCATCCCTACCACGTATGAGGAGGCCATGGCTTGCCCCGACGCCCCACTCTGGCTCGCCGCCATTATCAAGGAGCTGGAGGCCTTTGTCGCCAACTCCTCCTTTGTTGATGTGCCTCGCCCTCCCTCCTCTACGAACGTGGTGAAGGGGAAGTGGGTGTTTCGCGTCAAACAACTGCCAGGGGAGCCGCCCGTCTACAAGGCTCGTTACTGCGCCAAGGGGTTCACGCAGCGGTATGGTTTTGACTTCTTCGATACCTTCTCCCCCACTGCCAAGCCCGCTACTGTTCGCGCCGTGCTCGACCTCGCCGCTCGCCTCAATATGGAGATCCACTCGATGGACGTCTCTAACGCCTTCCTCCAAGGCGTCCTCCGCGAGCTTATCTACATGGAGCGTCCTGCCGGTTTTCACCTTCCCTTCCCTGCGGACTCTGTCTGGCAGCTGCGTCGCCCTGTGTATGGGCTCCGACAGGCCCCGAGGGAGTGGCATGCTAAGCTTGCCGCCACCCTTGCTGAACTTGGATTCCGCACCTCCCGCTCTGACGCCAGCCTCTTCCTCCGCGCCTCCCCCTCCCCCTTCTACATCCTTGTCTATGTCGATGACATGATTCTACTCACTGCCGACCTCAGCGAGTTGGAGCGTGTTAAGGCTGAGTTGGGCAGCCGTCTCAAGTGCAAGGACTTGGGCGAATTGCAGCATTACCTGGGCATGACAATCACCCGCGATCGCTCCGCCCGCACCATCTCTCTCTCCCAGGGTCATTACTTGCAGCAGGTCTTGGAGCGGTTTGACATGGTCCGCGGCGGCGCCCAACCTACTCCTCTTTCTGTCGGGCACCACCTCTCTCCACCCACCTCCCCCTCAGCCTCCTCCCATCCTTATCCCGAGCTCATCGGCTCCCTCATGTACGCCATGGTCTCCACTCGCCCTGACCTTGCCTACCCCATCAGCGTCCTCGCTCGTTTTGTTGGCGCAGGCAAGCATACGGAAGAGCACTGGCAGGCCGCCAAGCGTGTCCTCCGGTACCTTCGTGGCACCAAGGACTATGTCCTTACCCTCGGCGGCCCCTCCCCACCTACCCTCAGCGGCTACAGTGACTCCTCCTGGGCTGATTCCCAGCCAGATCGTCGCTCCTCCCAGGGCTATGGCTTCTCTCTTGGCAGCGGCCTTATCAGCTGGCGCTCCACCCGCTCCTCGGCTGTCGCCCTCTCCTCCTGCGAGGCGGAGTTGTATGCCGCCACCATGGCTGCGCAAGAGGCCCGCTGGCTCACCTTCCTCCTTGAGGAACTTGGTGCCCCCCAGCGCTGTCCCACCATTTGGTGTGACAATGCCAGTACCATTCACCTCACCAAAGATGCCGTGTTTCACGGGCGTTCCAAGCACATTGAGCTCCGTCATTTCTTCATTCGCGATCTTGTTCAGGCGGGGCACCTTCGGCTCGACAAGGTTGACTCGGCGGCCAACCTTGCCGACATCTTCACAAAAGCTCTTCCTCATGTCGCTCACTCTTTCCTACTTCGTCTTCTTGGCCTCACTCCTCCTAAGTCGCCTCCCGCCTCTTGATTCTAGCCTTCTAGCCTTATGCATGTTGGGGGGTTGTGTTGTAATTTCATAATTTGTACAACATACATAGGCTAGATTTAGATCTGTAGTACACTTATAAATTGGGGGGTTGTTTAGTGTACCCTCCAACCACATTTTGTGGTTGGTTGGGATTGGTCCCTAGCTCAACCAATCCCAACCAACACACATTTGTGGTTGCTTGGGTCACAAGCAAGCTCACCCATTGGCCAACTTATTGGCCAATAGGGTAAGCTTCCCTTTCATCTCTCTCTTGCTCATTGTTTGTACTAAAGGGCCTCTTGGCTCATTATTCAATGTATCTCTTCTAGCTTTTCAACACTTATTGTGTTCTCTCAACAAACAGGCGAAAATGCGGGCAGCGCAGCAAAGATTCGCAGCAAGCATGAATCAAGGCAAAGGAAAGGAGGAGGATGAGGAAGAGGAAGAGGAAGAGGAGGAAGACGAGGAGGAGAAGAAGGGGAGGGTGCAGACAGGAGGGTGGGAGTATGGGCGGGATGTGGACATGGGAGTGGGTGAGGAGGAAGGGAGGAAGCGAGGGAAGAGGCGGAAGGGGAAGGCAGTGATGGTGGAAGAGGAGGCAGAGGAGGAGAGGGAGTGTGTGTTGTGCAGGGAGGGGGACAAAGGAGGAACTTCCTCCCCACTCTGTCACATTGTCTTCTGCCAGGTGGGTTGGTGCTGTGCTCTCACTCTTTTCTGTCAAGTGGGTTGGTGTTGCGCTCACGTTTTGAGTCAACTCAAAACGTCACGTTGTTTTCTGTCAGGTGGGTGCTGCGCTCACTCTTTACTGCCAGGTGGATGCTGTGCTCTCACTCTCCTCCACTCCGCTCCTGTTTCCCCCTTCCTTATCTCGCCCCACCCTTCCATCTGCAAACCCCCTCACCTCCACCTCCCAGTCTTGTCCCGTGAGTTTTTCCAGCCAACACTTGTGATGCATAATACACTTTCTCTCCCACTCTCACTCCCGAAACTCCCTCCCCACACTCCCCCCATTGTAAACAACCCCCAACAGAAGTCTCGCCTCGTGGGTCTCTCCAGCCGTCCCTCCCCCACCTGGCAGCACGGTGCTTGTTCCCCTGCTGCCCCCACAGCCCCAGCTGCCCCCGCTGCCCCGCTTGCTGCCACCCACACTGCTGCTGCTGGTGTGACTGGTGCAGGGGGGACTGGAGCAGGTGCAACTGGGGCAGGGGGCACAGGAGGGCAGCAGCAAGGGGTGGGGCAAGCGGTGATTGTACTGGGGGGAGCACGTGCAGGTGGTGCAGCTGGTGCCATCGGTGGGGTGGCAGCAGCAGGAGCGGGAACAGGGGCAGGCGTAGCGGCAGGGGCAGGGACAGGGACAGGCGGGGGTGGCGCAGGGACAGGCACAGCTGCTGCAGCAGCAGCACTAACACGAACAGCAGCAACAGGAGAAACGCCAATCGGAGGAGCAGCTACGACAACAACACCAGGAGGAACAGCAGGAGCAGCAGGAATGGCAGCAACAACCACGGGAACGTGGGTGCAAGCCACAGAGTTTCTAGACTGGATCAGGGCGACCCTGCGCGAGGGGGGAGGGGGCCCTGTGACTGTACAGGGCCCGCAGGGCGAGTGGCAGGTGGACGGGGAGGATCTGATGGATATTCTGCAGCAGGAACTACCGGGGGAGGTGCGATTCACCACCACTATAGTCACAGGGGAGGGGTGGCCGGGCGGGGGAGGGGATGGTGCTGGAGGGGGGGTTGTGCGAGAGGGCGGGGGAGGGGATGGGGGAAGAGGGGCGGGGAGGGGGGAAGGAGGGGAAGTGAGGGTGGGAACAAGAGAAGAGGGGACAGGAGGTGAGGAGGAGGAAGAGGTGGAGGAAGAAGGGGAGGAGGAAGAGGATGAGGAGGAAGAGGAGGAAGAGGGAGGGGGAGGGGGAGAGGAGGGTGGGGAGGAGGAGATGATGGATGGGCAGGGGTTGCTGCTGCTGGGGGAAGAGGAGATGGGAGAGGCGGGGGCGGAAATGTTTTCAGATACTGATGATGACAGTGGTGATGGGGAGAGGGATGGTGATGGGAATGATACGGAGGAGGGTGGTGCTGGTGTTGGTGATGGTGCTGGTGCTGGTGCTGGTGCTGGTGCTGGTGATGGGGATGGGGATGGGGATGGTGATGGGGATGGGGATGGTGATGGGGATGGGGATGGGGATGAGGTGATGCTAGATGCTGTTAGTCAGGGGTTAGAAGAGGATGGGGATGAGGGGCAGCAAGAGGGGCAGACCCAAGGGGTGACAAGGGAAGCAGCAGAAGCAGCAGCAGAAGCAGCAGCAGCAGCAGCAGCAGCAGCGCAGCAGGCAGGTGTAGCTGGTACGGGCATTCGTGGTGTGGTTACTACAGTGCCGCCCGTTGCTGCAGTGCCGCCCATTGCTGCAGTGCCGCCCGTTGCTGCAGTGCCGCCCGTTGCTGCAGTGCCGCCCGTTGCTGCAGTGCTGCCCGTTGCTGCAGTGCCGCCCATTGCTACAGTGCCGCCCATTGCCACACTGCCAGCTGCTGCTGCAGTAGTTGGAGCAGGCACTGCCATTCCAGGGGCTGGAGGGGAAGCGCGAGCAGGGGCAGGCGGAGGGCCAGGGGGAGGGGCAGGGGGAGGGGCAGGGGGAGGGGCAGGGGGAGGGGCAGGGGGAGGGGCAGGGGGAGGAGCAGGGGGAGGAGCAGGGGGAGGAGCAGGGGGAGGAGCAAGGGGGGGAGCAGGGGGGACACGCGCAGGGGCAGGGGGAGTCCGTCCAGGGGAGGGGGGAGCTGGCGCCGCCAGGGGGAGGCTGGACGCAGTGCAGGCTGCAGCGGGGGAGGTGTTTCGGGGGTTCTGGATGAACATTCCCCCCATCAGGCGCACTGCTAGGCTGAGGCGCAGGGGCATCTCTGGGAGGGCGGATCTGTTCGGGCAGGCAGGGGGAAGAGGGATGGGTGCGGAGGAGAGGGAGAGTGGGGCAGTGGTGGGCGGGGGGCTGGCGAGTGGGGTGTGTGTGAAGGGGTGTGGGCATGTGATTCACCACTCGTGCATGGACCAGTACTTCTCAAGTCTTTACCAGAGGTGAGTGGGGTGTGTGACTTATGAGTTGACCCAAAAGTCGGCTTGAGTGGGGTGTGTGTGAAGGGGTGTGGGCATGTGATTCATCATTCGTGCATGGATCAGTACTTCTCGAGTCTCTACCAGAGGTGAGTGTGGCCTTCACTAGCGGTGTTTGTCTTTTCCACCACTCATGCGTAGACCAGTTATTCATCTCGTGTATGGACGCATGGTTTCGTGGACCAGCGTTCTTCATGATTGCGTATGACGCGAGCTCAGAAGCCGTGTGGGCATGTGGCCATGTGATATACCACTCATGCGTGTACCAGTATTTCTCAAGTCTGTATCAGCGAAGAGTCATTCCTTCGACAAGGACTTAGCTGTGGTGGACCCTAGAGTTTGAGTCGTCTCAAACCCCACATTTCCCCACCTCTCCCAAACTCTCCCCACCTCTTCCCACCCCTACTCCCCCCCTTCCCGTGGCTGCTGGCAGGCAGGTATCTGAGCGGTTCTTTTTACAAGGGCTCGTCAGTGGTGGACCCTGAAGCGGTGGGGTGGGACTAATTTTTAAGTGTCAAACAAAATCCTCCCTGCCTCTCCCCACCTGTTCCCACCTGTTCCCACTTCTCCTTATGCTGTACTGGCAGGTATCTGAGTGGTTCTTTCTACGAGGGCTCATCTGTGGTGGACCCTGAAGCGGTGGGGTGGGACTAATTTTGAAGTGTCTAATAAAATCCTCCCTGCCTCTCCCCACCTGTTCCCACCTGTTCCCACTTCTCCTTATGCTGTACTGGCAGGTATCTGAGTGGTTCTTTCTACGAGGGCTCGTCTGTGGTGGACCCTGAAGCGGTGAGTTCTGTGCACCATGCCACGCGATTGGTTCAAAACATTGAATTAGCATAGCACAATACGAAGGAAGAGATAAGGGACTCTCTGTTGAAGCGAAGACGTGTTTTTATGCGAGTACTCCTTATTTTTGCATGCACAATGCTTGTTGACTGTGTTGACTGTGTTGACTCTGTTAACTTTGCCTTCCTCCCTTCTTCGCCCCTCAACCCCATCCTCCCCACTTTCTCTTTTCTCCTCTCCTGTCTCTCTCCTTTCTCCGCCCCATCCCCTCCCCACACCACCCCACCCCACACCGCAGGGCGAGTTCCTGTGTCCCGTGTGCCGCCGTCTCGCCAACGCCACCCTCCCTCTGCTCCCATCTCGCTGCCCGCCTCTGCCCTCCCCACCCCTTCCCTCGCGTCCCCTCCCATCTCCTCTGCCCTCTTCTCCTCTCCCTGGGGCTCACCAGTCCATCCCTCTTGCTGCACCCACTGAGAGCCAAGGACGGGCACAAGAAGCAGCGCGGATTGGAGCAGCAACAGCAGGGGAAGGGTTTGCAGCAGCAGGAGAAGCAGCAGCAGCAGCAGCAGCAGCGCCTAGAGTAGCAGGAGGAGGGACCGGAGGGCATGGGTCTGAGGGCATGTCAAGTGGTGCGTCTGGTTTGGCTGGTGTAGTGTGGCGAATCAAGGAGGCGGAGAGCAGGGTGAGAGAGCGTAACCTCCGAGCCTGTATTGTCGCCGAACCTGCTGTCAGGTCCGGTGAAGGCAGGCTCGGCACCAGAGCTGCGTCAAGAAGGGATCCGAATGTTGGAACCACCATAAGCCGCACTGAGGGCATGATTAGGGGTGTTTCCTCTTACCCTAGAGAAACAGGTAACGTGGTAACGGGTAATGCGGTAACCGGTAGCACGGTAACCATCCCTCAAGACATGGTAACAAGACAGCCTCCACGTATGCAGGAGGCTATAGAGGCCACGGCTATGCGCATCTGCCAGGTGGCGCGTTCGGATTCGTCGAGATTCCGCCATGTGGCGCTTGGTCGCGAGCTACAAGGCCTGCTGATTTGGCAGAGTCTGGAGTACACGGTTGCCTGCGCTGAGCTGGCAGGGCGAGGGGCGCCACCTGGCTGTCCAGCTGGCAGGGTTGACACGTCAGCACAGTTCTGGGGGCTGGGGGAGACGGCGGCAGCGAGGATGAGGACAGGTGGCGCGATGTGGTTGGCTACTGCTGAGGCGAGAGTTGCGGCACTGGCTGCTTGTGCAGAGGAGGAAGGGTGGAAGGGGGAGTGGATGGAGGAGGGAAGAGTAGAGGGAGAGGGGAGAGGGTGTGAGGGAGCAAGCATGAGGAGGGAAGAGAGAGGTGGGTCCAGTAGTGAGGGGATGGAGGGAATGGAAATAGGGAGTTCAAGAGGCATGGAGGTGGGAGGGGATGGCAGCAGTGGTGGTCAAGGGAGGAGTGAGGAAGGAGGAGGGAACAGCATAGGAAGAGAGGTGAGCGGTGGTGAGGAGAGGAGCAGTGGTGGTGAAGAGAGGAGTGGTGGTGGGGAGGAGGGGAGTAGTGGTGATAGGATGGGAGAGGAGAGGAGACATCACGAGTGGAGGAGGCAGCTTATAGAGAGGATGCAGGGGAGGGCGCAAGGGGGGGCGCAGGGGGGGGCGCATGGGGGGGCGCATGGGGGGAAGGGGAAGGCGGAGGGCACAGTTGGGGCGCTGGCACGTTTGGCAGTGGCTCAGGCGTCTCACAGCACGCATGCTGTCATGCTCAGGACACGTGGCATGCTGCCATTGGTCGACAGCTTGGCCCCTGGGACACCATCAGAAGCAGCACTATCCGCACCTCATGCCGCAGCCGTCCCTTCATCTGGTTCTCCCGACCCCTCCCATCCCACCCACCCCTCCTCTTCCTCTTATTCCACCTCCACCTCCCCACCTACCTCTCTCCCCGCCTCCCTCTCCGCCTCCCCATCCCCATCCTCCCCCCCGGAGGAAAACGCCTTTCTCCTCCTCCTCGCCTCCCCCGCTCTCGTGCGTGATCCCTTCCTCTCCCTCTCCCGCCTCCTCTACTGCCTCCTCCCGCTCCCCCTTCCCCACCTCGCCTCGCTCTCCCACCCATCTCAACACAAAGCTTCAGGTTTGTTCGAGCACAAAGTAAGCAGAGAGGAGGAGGGCATGGCGGGTGTGGTGAGGGATGCAGTGCGGTTGGCGTACACAGCAGCAGTGGCTCAAGCCTTGCTGCTCCTCACCCCTGCTGCCTTCCGCCTGCTCCCCGCTCTTGCATTCCCTGCTGCTCTTCCTCATAGCAGTGTCCCTACTCATGCATCCTCAGTCCCTGCCGCCGTTCCTGAGCCTGCCCCTGCTCTGCCGCCGTTCCTCTCATCTCTGCTCGCTGCCATGCTGCATGTGCTAGCTGCCGGTTCTTCATCCACAGATGCTGCTGCTGCTGCTGCTGCTGCACCTGCGTCCCCCTTACCTTCATCTTCCACTGCGGCAGCAGCAGCAGCAGCAACTTCAGCAGCAGTACCACCAGTCCCCTCTGCCTCCACCCCTTCCTCCCCACCCTCCTCCCTCTCCTCCACCTCCTCTCCCCTCCTGCCAGACCTGCTCCTTCAGCAGACCTCGTTCCTGGATGCTGTGCGTCGCCTCTCCCTGCCCTTCCTGCGCCGCTCCGCGCTGCTCCTGCACCTCCTCTCCCGCAACGTGCTCCCGCTGCTGCTCATGCCCTCCGCGCCTCCCTTGCTCTTCCCCTCCCAACCGTCAGCCATCCCCTCCCACCCCTCAGTTTCACCGTTTCCAGCCCCCTCTCCCTCTCCCTGTCCCCCCTCCACTTCCATTCCTCCATCCTCCCACCACCATCATCCCAACCAACCAGGACCCTCTACCCCATCCCCTGCCACACCCCCACCCCCACCACCACCATCATCATCATCCTCAGTACCGCCACCATCACCAGAACCGTCATCATCATCATCACCCTCACCATCCACAGCCACCACAGCCCTGCCTCCCTGGGTGGGAGACACACAGGTGTTGGCACAGCAGGAGGTGGCGGAGGCAGCGGTGTGGGAGAGGGAGTTCCAGCTGCCTCCGCTCTCTGTGTTGCTCTCTGACCCTGCCGCTGTGCACCTGATGCTCTCCTGGTGCCGCCACGCTGCTTCTGCTGCTTCTGCTGCTGCTGCTGCTGCTGCTGCTGCTGCTGCTGCTGCTGCTGCTGCTGCTGCTGCTTCTGCTGCTGCTGCTGCTGCTGCTAGGCCAGGCTCGTCACCTGCTGTGCCTGCAGCAGCACCGGCAGAAGTAGCAGCAGCAACAGCACCGGCAGCTGCAACGGCGGCAGCGGCAGCGGCGGCAGTGACTGCAGTCATCTCACCCCTGTCGTTGCACCAGCCATCGCTAGCCTTGCCCTTCCGCCTCGTCTCCCTCCCCCACCGCTACCTCGACTTCTTCCAACGGTCAGTTCCTACCCTCCCCTCCCCAGCCCTCCCCCGCTGCCCTCCCCATGCATTTTTCCTGAACCCCCTCCTCCTGTGTTGTGTTTGTGCCCTCTCCCCTCCCCCGCTGCTACCTTGACTTGCTGCCTCCTGCAGCGCCTCAGAACTTCTCCTCACCTTCCCTCCCCACCCTCCTCTCCTCCCCTCTTGCAGATACCTGGGTGAGTCATGGGCATCATGCCAGCTGGTATCTTTTCAGGCGCCTCACGACTCCTCCTCCTCACCCTCACCCTGCCCTCCTCTCCCGTCCCTCCTCTTCCCCCCTTGCAGCTACGTGAATGAGCCGTGTGCATCGTGCCAGCTGGTGCTTTTTGAGGCGCCTTCAATGCCTCCTTCCCCTCCTTCTTTCCCCCACCCCTTTGTTAGAACTTGAGCTTAGAATCCATACACTGGTAATGAGCTCAAGGCTCTTTAAGTACATTGGAAATGGGCAAGGTAGGGGTGGAGAGAGTATCGGGGGCAATCCTAGGGAATTGGGGGTAATCCCAAGGCAATCTCCAATTGGTGGGTTGGAGATTGCTTGGAGATCACATTTGGGTTTGGTTGGGATGTGGGTGTACACCCAACCAAACACAAAGTGCAAACTACACTAAACTAGGATATAAAAGTACAAGTACAAATTGTGAGATTGAGGGCTAATATTAACACCCTTGTCTCCTCTTCTTCTGCAGCTACGTGAATGAGCCATGTGCATCATGCCAGTTGGTGCCGGAGCAGCCAGCCCTCAATGTCTCCTTCCCGTCTCCTTCCCCTCTTTTCTCCCCCCACCTTGTCCGCCCCTCTCCCACAGCTACGTGAATGAGCCGTGTGCATCATGCCAGTTGGTGCCGGAGCAGCCAGCATTCTGTCTTCTCTGCGCTTCACTGCTTTGCGGTTCCACCAGGTAGGCCCCTCACAACCCCCCCCCCCCCCCCACCTTTCTTATATTCGACGATGAGACGAGTCACCCCGTATACCAGCTGGTGCAGGAGCAGCCAGCCTTCAGCCTGCTCTGTGCTGCGCTGCTCAGTGGTTCCACCAGGTGGGCGCCTCCCACCCCCCCACCCATTCTTTGTATTCTGTGTTGATATTAAACACCAGCTGGTGGGCCCACCAGGTGGGCCCCTCCCATCACCCCACCCATTCTTAATAGTCAAACACCAGCTGCTGCAGGAGCAGCCAGCCTTCTGCCTGCTCTGTGCTGCGCTGCTCGGTGGTTCCACCAGATGGGCTGGGGCCCATGCTTTCCTCCACCCCACCCATCCCCTCTCTGTTTCTTCACATTCAACGCTTCAACTAATACTGCCAGTTGGTCCCATGCTTGTCTGACCGTCTCAGAACAGTTCACTTTCCGTGCTCTCGTGCTTTGTTTGTATTTTTTTTAGAATTCTCAAAAAGCATCCTTCCCGTGCTCTCATGCTTTTTCCTTGGAACAATCTACAGCATACTTACAATCACCCCGTGCTCCCTTGCTCCCATGCCCCTCCCTGCAGTCGTGTGCATGAGTCTAGGAGTGGGAGCACCAAGCGAGGTTGCTGTGGGGGGAGCTACGCACATGCCAAGGAGTGCGGGGCCGGCCTGGGGGTTTTCCTCCTCGTGCGGGTATGTGTGTGCATGCATATGGCCAAGGCTTTTGAGTCACCTCAAAAGTCACCCCAGGGTTTGTTCCTGTGGGGGGAGCTACACACCTGCCAAGGAGTGCGGGGCCGGCTTGGGGGTTTTCCTCCTCGTGCGGGTATGTGTGTGCATGCATATGGCCAAGGCTTTTGAGTCACCTCAAAAGTCACCTCAGGGTTTGTTACTGTGGGGGGAGCTACGCACATGCCAAGGAGTGCGGGGCCGGCCTGGGGGGTTTCCTCCTCGTGCGGGGAGTGTGTGCATGGCAGCCTGAACAGCCTACTCTGTCGTCCTCCCTATCCGGGTATGTGTGCGCATGGCTGTGGGCAATATGCATGTGCAGTTTACACACGTGCCTTCCTCTGATGATTATGTGTGCCTGATCTGGCCACAAGGTTTCAAAACCCTTCCTGCTCAACGTCTTCTCCTGCCCACAAACCTCCCCTTCCCCTCCTCCACCCTCCCTCCTCCACAACCCCCCTTTTGCCCAACCCTGCCCCCTGTTATTCCCCTGTTGCAGCGCACTTCTGTGATGCTGCTGCGTCGTATGCGTTATGCCGCGTGGCCGTCACCCTATCTCGATGCATATGGTGAAGAGGTTAGTAGAACATTCCTACTTATACCTCCGACATTCCAGTAGCCAAAAAAATTATTGCTGTTCCTTTTTTCGCTTAATTTCCTCCCTTTTCAAGTTTTGTGTACTCAAATGATACCTGGCATCATTGTGAATCGTGGTGCGTCACATCACATCACATCACATCACATCACATCACATCACATCACATCACATCACATCACATCACATCACATCACATCACATGGCATTCACCAGGATGAGAACCTGCGGCGTGGCAAGCCATTGTATCTCAGTACCGACCGCTTCCACACCCTCCAATCCATGGTCAGACCATATCCCGCTCTTCAGTCCCTCCCTACGCATCTTGCTATCCATCCATTCCTTGGCTGAACCAAGCTGAACCAATGGAATTCGGTGGTTTTTGCAGGTGGCATGTCATGGGGTGGATCATAATTCCCTCGTTCTCTCTCATTCCACCAGAGTTCCCTTCTAGATACAGACTTTCAAAATACACTGGCATTAGCAGCCTCTAGGTATGTAGAGTAGTTGTTAAAGGGGTCTACCTTTGCAAGTTAGCGAGCGCCTAGTTTGTATTCGGTTCTCCTCTCCACCACAAGCAGGCAGAAATGGAGGGTATAGCTGGGATGGATGTATTGTTTTTCCATTCTTTTATCGCTTGTTTTCTCACCTATATTCGGCACCACGAAACAATCCCTGATGTAAAATTATGCTAAGTGAGTCAAGCAAGTAGTGGTATTGCATGGGGCAAAGGGGAATGTGTTTGGTGCGATCATGGCTTCGGTGGTGAGAACGAGTGGCTTGGGGTAGGGGCCGTGCTTGAACTCAACCTCGATAAACATTGCCCGGTAGCCCACCTGTGCGTGCGACAGGGCAGCAGAGCAGCAGAGAAGCAGAGCAGGAGGGAGACAACAAAGCGAGACGAAGTTAACTAAGGCATTGACATGGTAAAGTGATTCGCCAACGCATGGCAGGGATGGATGGCGAGAGTAAGGGTACATTCCGCTCTGGACACTGTCCCAATCGCAGTGTCCCGATCGAGTGTACCGCTCCGAACCGAACTAAACCAGAGACGCGAAAATTTCGAGAATGTTTGAAACTAGGGTGGAATTCGGTGTAATACGATGCCATGCGGTGGAATCTATTCAGACACTTTCGATTGGGACAGTGTCCAGAGCGGAATGTACCCTAGGCAAGAGAAAAAAAGAGTGCAATCTCAGTTATGGAGAGAGGACAAACGTCGGTCGGAAACTGTCGTTGGAGGCGCCTTAATACTCGTTGATGGAGGAGCTGAAGAGCTTCTGAGACGCCTCAAAAGACACTTACCTTGGGATTGCCTTCAACGGAGGAACTGAAGTGCCAGAGCCCGTCAGGCTGCAGAGCAGGCGGCGAAACAACATGCTGGACGAACGGAATGGGCTGCACACAGAGCATGCCGAACTTGGCTCACCTTGGGAATGTCTTTAACGGAGGAGCTTAAGTGCCAGAGCCCGCCAGGCTGCAGCACGGGCGGTGAGACGGCATACTGGTTGAACGGAATGGGCTGCACACAGAGTGTGCCGAACTTGGCTATATAGGTCTTTGGTAAACTCGTGAAGGGCACCGTGCTGGCAGGGAGGGTGGGGGCAGGAGGGGTACAGGGGAAGAGAGGAGGTTTGACGCCATCAAAACTCTTGAAGGGAAATATTTTAGGCGACCCAGTAGTGAACCGTGCAGGCAAGGATGGGGCAAGAAGGGGTAGAAGGAAAGGGGGAAATGGAGCATGGTGAATATGAATGGAGCATGGTGAATATGAATGGAGCGGTAAGGAAGGAAACGATTTGCTTGTTGAACAAGGTGCAACATCACTTACACCACTCACCATCCATTCACACCACACCACTTACCACCCGGTAAGCCCCTGCTTAACGATAAATCGGAAGTCCCGCCGCTTGCTGCCCTGACTGGTGCGCCCTGTCCTGCACTAGGGGGGGAAAGGGGAGCCAATGGGAAGGAGGCAAAGTAGGGGCTTCTGAGGCGCCTTAATAGCCGCTTGCTGCCCTGACTGGTGCGCCCTGTCCTGCACTAGGGGGGGAAAGGGGGGCCAATGGGAGGGGGGCAGGGGGGAGGGGAGGGGTTTTGATGCGCCTGAAAAGCCGCTTGCTGCCCTGACTGGTGCGCCCTGTCCTGCACTAGGGGGAGAGGGGGGCAACGTGAAGGCGGCGGGGGGAGGGGGGTGTGGGGGGGAAGAGAGAGTGGGACGATGGGGGAATGGGTGAAGGGAAATCATAAGTGAATGGAATGCTTCTTGCTTTGCCTTCATCAAGTCAACAGCCTCTTGGTCTATCCCGTTCTCCATCCCGTTCTCCATCCCGTTCTCCATCCCGTTCTCCATCCCGTTCCCATCCCTCCCTATCCCATTCAAACCCCCCCCCCCCCCCTCCCTTCCCCTGCCCTCGCTCTCACCATGCTCTAACGGCCAATGGCTTCCTGTCTGACGTGGCATGAATGGTGAACGTGGACCAGTCAAACCGCCACGTCAGCCGCGGCCAGTCGACAGCTGGCAGCTTGGGAACACAACTCCAGGGGCGGGTGTGTGCTGCTGTTTCTGTCGCTGGAAGACTAGAAGAACGAGGGTCGTGAGTGAGTGAGGAGGAGGAGGAGGAGGAGGAGGAGGAGGAGGAGGAGGAGGAGGAGGAGGAGGAGGAGGAGGAGGAGGGAGGAGGAGGAGGAGGAGGAGGAGGAGGAGGAGGAGGAGGAGGAGGTAGGGGTGGGTATGGGATGGGTCCAGGTGAGGGAAGGGCGGGAGGAGGCGGGGGAGAGAGTAATGTGGAGGAGTTGATGTGGAGGAGTTGATGTGGAGGAGTTGATGTGGAGGAGTTGATGTGGAGGAGTTGATGTGGAGGAGTTGATGTGGAGGAGTTGATGTGGAGGAGTTGATGTGGAGGAGTTGATGTGGAGGAGTTGATGTGGAGGAGTTGATGTGGAGGAGTTGATGTGGAGGAGTTGATGTGGAGGAGTTGATGTGGAGGAGTTGATGTGGAGGAGTTGATGTGGAGGAGTTGATGTGGAGGAGTTGATGTGGAGGAGTTGATGTGGAGGAGTTGATGTGGAGGAGTTGATGTGGAGGAGTTGATGTGGAGGAGTTGATGTGGAGGAGTTGATGTGGAGGAGTTGATGTGGAGGAGTTGATGTGGAGGAGTTGATGTGGAGGAGTTGATGTGGAGGAGTTGATGTGGAGGAGTTGATGTGGAGGAGTTGATGTGGAGGAGTTGATGTGGAGGAGTTGATGTGGAGGAGTTGATGTGGAGGAGTTGATGTGGAGGAGTTGATGTGGAGGAGTTGATGTGGAGGAGTTGATGTGGAGGAGTTGATGTGGAGGAGTTGATGTGGAGGAGTTGATGTGGAGGAGTTGATGTGGAGGAGTTGATGTGGAGGAGTTGATGTGGAGGAGTTGATGTGGAGGAGTTGATGTGGAGGAGTTGATGTGGAGGAGTTGATGTGGAGGAGTTGATGTGGAGGAGTTGATGTGGAGGAGTTGATGTGGAGGAGTTGATGTGGAGGAGTTGATGTGGAGGAGTTGATGTGGAGGAGTTGATGTGGAGGAGTTGATGTGGAGGAGTTGATGTGGAGGAGTTGATGTGGAGGAGTTGATGTGGAGGAGTTGATGTGGAGGAGTTGATGTGGAGGAGTTGATGTGGAGGAGTTGATGTGGAGGAGTTGATGTGGAGGAGTTGATGTGGAGGAGTTGATGTGGAGGAGTTGATGTGGAGGAGTTGATGTGGAGGAGTTGATGTGGAGGAGTTGATGTGGAGGAGTTGATGTGGAGGAGTTGATGTGGAGGAGTTGATGTGGAGGAGTTGATGTGGAGGAGTTGATGTGGAGGAGTTGATGTGGAGGAGTTGATGTGGAGGAGTTGATGTGGAGGAGTTGATGTGGAGGAGTTGATGTGGAGGAGTTGATGTGGAGGAGTTGATGTGGAGGAGTTGATGTGGAGGAGTTGATGTGGAGGAGTTGATGTGGAGGAGTTGATGTGGAGGAGTTGATGTGGAGGAGTTGATGTGGAGGAGTTGATGTGGAGGAGTTGATGTGGAGGAGTTGATGTGGAGGAGTTGATGTGGAGGAGTTGATGTGGAGGAGTTGATGTGGAGGAGTTGATGTGGAGGAGTTGATGTGGAGGAGTTGATGTGGAGGAGTTGATGTGGAGGAGTTGATGTGGAGGAGTTGATGTGGAGGAGTTGATGTGGAGGAGTTGATGTGGAGGAGTTGATGTGGAGGAGTTGATGTGGAGGAGTTGATGTGGAGGAGTTGATGTGGAGGAGTTGATGTGGAGGAGTTGATGTGGAGGAGTTGATGTGGAGGAGTTGATGTGGAGGAGTTGATGTGGAGGAGTTGATGTGGAGGAGTTGATGTGGAGGAGTTGATGTGGAGGAGTTGATGTGGAGGAGTTGATGTGGAGGAGTTGATGTGGAGGAGTTGATGTGGAGGAGTTGATGTGGAGGAGTTGATGTGGAGGAGTTGATGTGGAGGAGTTGATGTGGAGGAGTTGATGTGGAGGAGTTGATGTGGAGGAGTTGATGTGGAGGAGTTGATGTGGAGGAGTTGATGTGGAGGAGTTGATGTGGAGGAGTTGATGTGGAGGAGTTGATGTGGAGGAGTTGATGTGGAGGAGTTGATGTGGAGGAGTTGATGTGGAGGAGTTGATGTGGAGGAGTTGATGTGGAGGAGTTGATGTGGAGGAGTTGATGAGTTGATGTGGAGGAGTTGATGTGGAGGAGTTGATGTGGAGGAGTTGATGTGGAGGAGTTGATGTGGAGGAGTTGATGTGGAGGAGTTGATGTGGAGGAGTTGATGTGGAGGAGTTGATGTGGAGGAGTTGATGTGGAGGAGTTGATGTGGAGGAGTTGATGTGGAGGAGTTGATGTGGAGGAGTTGATGTGGAGGAGTTGATGTGGAGGAGTTGATGTGGAGGAGTTGATGTGGAGGAGTTGATGTGGAGGAGTTGATGTGGAGGAGTTGATGTGGAGGAGTTGATGTGGAGGAGTTGATGTGGAGGAGTTGATGTGGAGGAGTTGATGTGGAGGAGTTGATGTGGAGGAGTTGATGTGGAGGAGTTGATGTGGAGGAGTTGATGTGGAGGAGTTGATGTGGAGGAGTTGATGTGGAGGAGTTGATGTGGAGGAGTTGATGTGGAGGAGTTGATGTGGAGGAGTTGATGTGGAGGAGTTGATGTGGAGGAGTTGATGTGGAGGAGTTGATGTGGAGGAGTTGATGTGGAGGAGTTGATGTGGAGGAGTTGATGTGGAGGAGTTGATGTGGAGGAGTTGATGTGGAGGAGTTGATGTGGAGGAGTTGATGTGGAGGAGTTGATGTGGAGGAGTTGATGTGGAGGAGTTGATGTGGAGGAGTTGATGTGGAGGAGTTGATGTGGAGGAGTTGATGTGGAGGAGTTGATGTGGAGGAGTTGATGTGGAGGAGTTGATGTGGAGGAGTTGATGTGGAGGAGTTGATGTGGAGGAGTTGATGTGGAGGAGTTGATGTGGAGGAGTTGATGTGGAGGAGTTGATGTGGAGGAGTTGATGTGGAGGAGTTGATGTGGAGGAGTTGATGTGGAGGAGTTGATGTGGAGGAGTTGATGTGGAGGAGTTGATGTGGAGGAGTTGATGTGGAGGAGTTGATGTGGAGGAGTTGATGTGGAGGAGTTGATGTGGAGGAGTTGATGTGGAGGAGAGAGGAGACGCGCGTCGTAGGCCTGTGATGTTGTGGGGAGGGGAGGGGAGGATAGTGGCGATTGGGTGGGTCGTGTTTTGAGTCGACTCAGAACACATAGGCGGAAGAATGAGAGGGACGCATCATAGGCCTGGGATGTCGTGGGGAGGGGAAGGGAAGGGTAGTGGCAAACAGGTGAGTGAAGGAGAGAGAGGGAGTGTCCTAGGAATGTGGTTTATGGAGTCAAGACAGGAAGAAGGTGAGGTGGAAGCTAGTTTTGAGGCGCCTCATAAGGAGAGAAAGTGTCCTAGGAATGTGGTTTATGGAGTCAAGACAGGAAGGAGGTGAGGTGGAAGCTAGTTTTGAGGCGCCTCAAAAAGGGGTTTGTTTTTTGAGGTGCCTCAGAAGGGGTGCAACACGGTGAAGGTGAGGTTGGAGAAAGCATGAGAAGAAGGGGAATTGCTACATGAGACCATGGTGGTGTGAGAGAAGTGAGAGAGAGAAGGGCGTGGGAGTGGATGAGGAGGGGAGGTAGGCTGGTTTTGAGACATCTCAAAAGGCCGGGAGAGAGAGGAGGGGGGAAAGGAAAGGCTGGGAGAGAGGAGAGGGGAGAAAGGCTGGGAGTGAATGAGGAGGGGAGAAAGGCTGGGAGAGAGAGGAGGGGGGATGGTAGATCGTAGACGTACATACCCACTGCGACATCTGTATGACCATGTGGTCCAGATTGGCCACGATTTTAAACAGCGTGGGGGGTGGCAGGTCGTTGAAGTACCTGCCCAGCCAAGCGCATTTGCATCACCATGCAGGGGTGAGTGAGATGAGAGGTGACTTTTGAGTTGGCCCACAAGCCACTTTCATTTAGCAGACGTACTTCTAGCACAGGGTTTCGGGTTTAGGGTTTGGGGTTTAGGGCGAGAAGGCAAATGCATTTGCATCCTGGGGTGAGTGAGAGCATGACAGGCGGAGAGTGGGCGCGTGCAAATCAAGCCAGAGCGGGTGACAGAATGGGCGTGGCTTTTGTGTCGACTCAAGAGCCAGTGGGGTTGACAGAAACGGAGAGTGCGCAACGCGAATCAAATGCGTATGTGTGAGTGCTGAATCAAACGAGCATATGCCATTCTGAGAGGTGCCTGAAAGCATTTAATCAAAAGCGCTGGGTTTGGCAATCCCATGGATATATACACATACATACATATATCATGATATCATTTATCACATGCATATATATGTATATAGGATATATGTATATATGCATATATGCATATATGTATATATGTATATATGTATATATGTATATATGTATATATGTATATATGTATATATGTGTATATGGGACACTCACTAGATATGAGCACGAACCGAACTCAAACATGTTTGCGCAAACTTTTTCGAACCTTGCATGGGGGTCGAACCGATCCAAACTTGTTTGCTCAAACTTTTTTTTTTATTGTTGAGGTTTGAGGTTTGCTCAAACCTTGAAAGGCTTGTGTGAACTCGAACCTAGTTAGGTTTGGGGGTAAATATGATGCACAAGGAAATGTAAGAGGCATGCGCGTCAGACGTTTCAGCAGTGTACTATCTAACTTAGCACCTAAACGTATGTATGACGCATCTTAAGAGGGAGTTGTAGTGAATGAATAGTAATGTGGGAGCTTGGGTGCGGTGCTTAGAAGCAGATCTAGATCTTCTCTACCTGGGTTGGCTGCCGTGAAATGGCAGCCAACCCTACGACTTTCCCGTCAAGGTTGAGTGGGTTCTGGCGGGGTCTAATTCGAACCCCGTGAAGTTTGAAAATTGATGTTTCGAACTTCGAACCGGTTCGGTTTGAAGTTCTAAACTCGAACCAGAAAGGTTTGAGCAAACGGTTCCCACGAACTTTTGCAAGGTTTGCGCAAACTTTTTTCAAGAGAAAAAAAGTTCGGTTCGTTTTAATTCGAACCGGTTCGAGCGAACCGGACCTAGGTTCGGTTCGTTGCTCATATCAACACTCACGAGTCGTCCATGGAGAAGAACTCGTCGTTGGAGGCAGCAATGAGTAGCTTGGGCATGGTGAGGCGGTCCCGGAAGAAGTAGGGGTCGGTGTAGGTCTGTGGTGGAGTGGAGGGGTTGGGAGGGGTTCAAGAGGATAAGCAGCTTTTTCAGGCGCCTAGAATATGAGCAGCTTGGGCACGGTGAGTGAGGTGGTACTTCAAAAAGCACAGATCCGTGTAGCCCTGCATGGCAGAGGCAGGAGGGAGGGAGTGCAGGGCGAGTGCAGTGCAGCAGCATGCAGGTGGTAGGAGCGGCACCCCGTGAGGAGAACCGTTGCCCACCACCTTCTCTCCCTTCTCACCATTATGTGGCGCATTTGCGGCGAGTGCAGCATGTGAGTGAGGTTGAAGTCCGCATAGAACCGCCCAAGGAAGGGCACGGCTCCAAGGACTACCCCCCTGCCTCCATTCCTCTCCCTCACTCACTCTCTCTCCTTTGATTGACTCACCATAATGTGGCGCATTTCCGGTGAGTGCAGCATGTGAGTGAGGTTGTAATCCGCATAGAACCGCCCCAGGATGGGCACAGCCCCCAGGGAGTCGAGCAGATGCTGCATGTTGGGCTGAAAGTTGATGAGATCGTAGCCGTATGATATGAAGGCCACCACTCGCTGTGGAGGGAAGGAGGGAGAGAGATAGAGAGGCAGAATCTGAGTCGACTCGAAAGGCACTGCTCCCAGGGAGTCGAGCAGGTGCTGCATGTTGGGCTGGAAGTTGATGAGATCGTAGCCGTACGATATGAAGGCCACCACTCGCTGTGGAGGGAGGGAAGGAGAGAGAAAACCAAGTCAAGTCAAGTTCAGCAGGTGCGGTGCTGCATGTTGGGCTGAAAGATTATTGAATCATAGCCGAATAATATGAGAGAGGGAAGGAAAATGGCGGGAGGGAGAAATCGAGTACGGCTCCGGTGAGAGAGGCAGAAAGGGAGAGAGAGAGAGAGCATGAAGAGGGGAGCAGAAAGGTGGTGCGGGATTAAAGGAGGAGATGCAGAGTGAAAATTGAATGCGTACAAACACATACAAGTGCGTACACCTTTCTGCAGGTGCTGTACGTGGTATTAGGGAGAGAAACAAAAAAAAAAAGGTGGAAGCACGTACACCTAAACACCTGCCTTCATATGAAACAGGAGGATGAATTGACTATTTATCACTCAGCACGTGCCTTATCGAGAGCAGCAGAGAGCCAGGCCATGCATGCGCGCTTGATCACACCAACAGTCACAAAGCCCTCCACCTGCCGAGGGTAGGGAGGGAAGGAGGGTTGGGTGGGGACGGAGCACGAAAGGCATGAGCAGTCTGGGAAGAGAGCAAACGAGAGCAAACGAGAGCAGCAGAGAGCAAACGAGAGCAAACGAGAGCAAACGAGAGCAAACGAGAGCAGCAGAGAGCAAACGAGAGCAAACGAGAGCAAACGAGAGCAAACGAGAGCAGCAGAGAGCAAACGAGAGCAAACGAGAGCAGCAGAGAGCAAACGAGAGCAAACGAGAGCAAACGAGAGCAAACGAGAGCAGCAGAGAGCAAACGAGAGCAAACGAGAGCAAACGAGAGCAAACGAGAGCAAACGAGAGCAAACGAGAGCAAACGAGAGCAAACGAGAGCAGCAGAGAGCAAACGAGAGCAGCAGAGAGCAAACGAGAGCAAACGAGAGCAAACGAGAGCAAACGAGAGCAGACGAGAGCAGACGAGAGCAGACGAGAGCAAACGAGAGCAAACGAGAGCAAACGAGAGCAAACGAGAGCAAACGAGAGCAGACGAGAGCAGACGAGAGCAGACGAGAGCAAACGAGAGCAAACGAGAGCAGCAGAGAGCAAACGAGAGCAAACAAGAGCAGCAGAGAGCAAACGAGAGCAGCAGAGAGCCAAGCCATGCAAGCACGCTTGCTCACACCAACAGTCACGAAGCCCTCCATCTGCCGGGGGGGGAGGAGGGGGAGGGGGAGGGAAGAGTGGGGGTGATGGGGCACGCAAGGCATGAGTGGTTTCAAAGTCGCGCTTGCTCACACCAACAGTCACGAAGCCCTCCACCTGGGGGGGGGGGAGGGAGAGTGAGTGGGGATGGGGCACGCAGGGCATGATCGGTCGGGGAACAAGACCATTTTCTTTTCACTCAATGACAAGGACCATTTGAGAGGGTGACACAGGTTGAGCTGGGTCGTGCAGAGCCATCCTTACTTGACATGCACTCACCCACTCACTCACTCACTCAATCGATGTCTCACTCACTCACACACTCACTCACTCGCTCGCTCACTCACTCGCTCACTCACTCACTCACTGGCACGTGGGGAATGAGCTCTCTGGCGGCCAGTTGCGCAGCATCCATGGCTCGGATGACGGATTTGGCCATGGGCATGTAGATGGGCCACTCGGGCGTGGTGGGGTCTTGCAGAGCCATGGCGAGCGTGACTGGCGGACGGGGTAGGGTGGGAGGAGAGGGCGAAAGAGCAAGGGAAGCAAGGTGAGTGTGTGGGTATGGGCATGTAGATGGGCCACTTGGGGGTGGTGGGATCTTGCAGCGCCAAGGCAAGGGTGACTGGTGGATGGGGTGAGAGGAGGGGATGGGGAAGGGGGCGTGAGGTAATGTGATGGGTATGTGGATGGGTCATTTGGGCATGTGGATGGGTCATTTGGGCATGTGGATGGGTCATTTGGGTATGTGGATGGGTCATTTGGGCATGTGGATGGGTCATTTGGGCATGTGGATGGGTCATTTGGGTATGTGGATGGGTCATTTGGGCATGTGGATGGGTCATTTGGGCATGTGGATGGGTCATTTGGGTATGTGGATGGGTCATTTGGGCATGTGGATGGGTCATTTGGGCATGTGGATGGGTCATTTGGGCATGTGGATGGGTCATTTGGGCATGTGGATGGGTCATTTGGGCATGTGGATGGGTCATTTGGGCATGTGGATGGGTCATTTGGGCATGTGGATGGGTCATTTGGGCATGTGGATGGGTCATTTCATTTGGGGTACGGACGCCATAGAGGGTGACTGCCTTACATGCGATGATCTCCTCCTCCAGAAGCTCCTGGCTTCTGCTGCTGCTGATGCCAGGCGGGGTGACGTGGAAGCTGATTGGCATCGTTGGCTCCTCGTGCAGCATCACCCCCGTTATGCCTAGATCCACCACCAGGCTGCATGCAAGGCAAAACGGTGAGCGGGAGAGGACGGAAGGGGGGAAGAAGGGGAGATGCACGGGGCACAAGGGGACTGATGGGCTTCATTGGCTCCTCGTGTAGCATCACTCCCATTATGCCAAGATCCACCAGCAGCCTGCAATGGGGGTGAGGGAGAGTGGAATAGCAGAGTGGATGGGAGAGGGGCAGGGCAGAATGGAAGGGAGAAGGGAGGAAGCTGATGGGCATCATTGGCTCCTCGTGTAGCATCACTCTCATTATGCCAAGATCCACCAGCAGCCTGCAGAACAGAGCAGCATAGGGAAGTGGCATTCCGAGTACAGAGGAGTGGGGCAGGGCGGAATGGAAGGGGGAGGGGATGAAGCTGATGGGTACCAACCATGGGCGCAGCAACGCTCCCAGTCTGCAGAACACGGATGAACAGTCTGGTACCATGAGCACTGGCTTTGGGAACGGGCCAGCCAGCCCCAGTCGTCCCTGCTGTGGTAGTCGATGCGACGGGCACAAGGTTCGCGCCACTCAATCTCACACTCTCGCACTAATAAATGACGCCCCATTCCCTATTCCCACTCACGGAGCAGCAACGCGAATAAAAACAGCATTCGCCTTGGGTACGTGATAGCCGCGGTCGTCCTTGCCGTCGTCGCTCCACCCCGCACCAATGAAGAAGAGCACGAGGCCCTTGCTGGCGTTGGGCATGTTGTCCGGCGCCTGGGAGGGTGAAAGGAGGGAGGGAGGGAGGGAGGGAGGGAGGGAGGGAGGGAGGGAGGGAGGGAGGGAGGGAGAGAGAGAGGAAGCAGAGACGTCAGTCGGCTTGGGCACGTGGTACCCCCGGTCGTTCCTGCCATCGTCGTTCCACCCCGCCCCAATGAAGAAGAGCACGAGGCCCTTGCTGGCGTTGGGCATGTTGTCAGGCGCCTGGGAGGGAGAGTGGAGAGCAGAGCAGGGAGCAAGCACAGCCAGGAGGCACGAATTGACAGAGTTGACTTTTTAGTTGACTAAAGAGCTGCCCTTGTGAAGATGAGCATGGGGCCCTTGCTGGCGTTGGGCATGTTATCCGGCGCCTGAGTGGGTGAAAGAAGGGAGGGAGGGAGGAAGCACGAGGCGTCAGTCGGTTTGGGCACATGGTACCCGCGGTCGTCCTTGCCGTCGTCGCTCCACCCCGTCCCAATGAAGAAGAGCACGAGGCCCTTGCTGGCGTTGGGCATGTTGTCCGGCGCCTGGGAGGGAGGGCGAGAGGAGAGGAGAGTAGGAAGAAAGGATAGACAGGAGGCACGCACTGACAGAGTTGACTTCTGAGATGACTCGAATGCCGCCCCAATGAAGAAGAGCACGAGCCTGAGTTGACTTCTGAGTTGACTTGCTGGCGTTGGGCATGTTGTCAGGCGGCTGTCATTGCGAGAGGAGGGAGGAAGCACACCCAGGATGTTAGAGGGCCCTACGACAGCAAGGGCCCTCGCGAAATGTTAGACTTGGCAGGTTGACGACCGACGACCTGGTCTACTCGGCACCGTCGCACAGGTTCGATGGCAGTCAAGTGTGACTACGGGTGAATGCGAGCTGCAGTAAGGAATCTGCTGAAGTCGGTGCTGGGAAGTAGAGTCGTGGGAGTCTTTGTGTGCTTCCTTATGAGGCACGCCACTCCCAAGCTGAGTCGGATGGAGTTGCGTGCTCGGAAGGTTTTCGCTGCTGAGTTGGATGGAAGTTTGGCGGGGCGCGTTCGCCAACTCCCACAGCACTTTCGTGTGGGTTGGGTTACTCGCAGCGCCCTCGCTACCTTTTGTGAACGCTTGCTTGCCTTTATATGTTTGTGTTTGCTTGTGTGTTTCATATATTCTATTTTCCTAGTGAAGTCCAATCTCTACTCAAATTCTCACTTAGTCATTTGAGACCAACGCTACCCAAACGCTACCGAATTCCTAGCGCAACATCATTCCCATAAGCAGAATCTCTCTCGCCGTCGTAGTGCTCTCCATAATATTCCTTCATGGTGCGGTGAGCGTGGAACGAACACGCATAGAATTCCGTCGTCGACTTTCTTAGCGTTCGTAAACTCGCCTTGGCGTGCGGCGTTAGTGAAGGGCGCATATTAAATTAAGTTGAACCTCTCTTAATTTCCCTCCAGTTACGTTCTCGGACCCAAGGATAGGGCGTTTGGTAATTTATTACCACTCGTCTGAGGACCCTTGTGAGGTGACCCCGAGACGAGGGATTTAAGGAAGGAACAATTTATTTTAATTTGTGGCACCTTATCGAGGCGTCGTAGAGGATGAGTTCGGAGGAGGCGGACGTTGAGGCCGTTAATTTTCGCGCACTAGAGGAGGAGCTCGTGGCACGTCGTTCCCGTGGCGAGCTTAGTAATGTAGATTACGAGCTCATGTTGGAGGGATTACGCTCTCGTCAGCGTCGCGATCATCCCTCGCCACATGTAGAGCAAGCTGCGGGAGGCACTAGTGCGTGGGACATGGCTGTCAATGACGGAGGTGACGATGACGAGGAGGTTGATGGGTTGATGTCGCGTGGGGTCCTGCGAGGACCAACTCGGTTTAGTACGACTAGCGTCGGCGGTGTACAGGAGCGTGTTCATCGTGCGGCGGCGTCACACGAGCGTACGAACTTAGGACGACAGAGCGCTGCTGGAGGAGGGAATGCGGAGGAGTACGATAGTGGAGCTATGCCGGGCATTACCCCGATTGGATCGATGTCGAGGGATGAGGGAATAGCCCCCAACTATGGCTACTTCAAATTCACTCCAGACAGAATCGTCGTGCCTAAGCCGCTCGAAGGACGCCACGACCTATCGACGTGGGTAGAATCGATCGAGCCGCAGCTTGAGATCGCTCAACTAAAGCGATTCATTGACGGTACCACTCCTATTCCACCAACGCAGGCAGTTGCGCATCTCACTCAGTTCCGCGCAATGCAGTTACTGACGTTCACCACGATTTCCCGATGCTGCTCCCCAACCGTACAGATTGCCCTTAAGGGGTGTCGCATGAAGGTAGATGCCGGCTATCAGGCATGGCAGTTTATTATGCGCACGTACATGGCGAAGGACGATCTGTACATCGGTCAGTTAGAGCAGGCGCTCACTAACCTCGAGATGGGTGAGCACGAGTCCGCTACGTCCTATTGCAACCGTGCGCAGCAGATCCTAGTGAACCTGAGGATGGCCGGCGTCGATTACTCGCAGGCGTCGTACATTACTCACGTCGTGAAGGGGTTGCCGCAGCAGTACAACCTCTTACGCAGGATGCTGAAGCTGCCGCAGGTACGCAAGGAGTTGGACGAGGACACCCTCGCTAGCTACATTATCGAGGAGGAGTGTACGCTGGCAGCGGAGGGACGGAAGGACCAATTTCTTCCCCAGGCCAACCAGGTCTTTACCAAGAAGGGTAAGCCCCAATCCCAGCAGACTTCATCCCCTTCCCCTCCCACTACGGCACAGCAGCAGCAGCCTAAGACTGGGGGTGGGGTTGGAGGTGGAGGAGAGAAGTGGAAAGGGGCTAAGGATGGTCCGCCAAAGGGGGGGAAAGGTGGCTTCAAGGGGAAGTGCTACGTGTGTGGACAGACAGGGCATGTTGCTAAGTACTGTCAGCAGCGGGCGGATAAGGAGGCAGACACGGGTGGAGAGGGTTCTGGAGGCAGCGGCGCGAGTGGCAAGGGGGACGATGGCTCTAAGGGGAGCGGGCAGTCATCATGTGCGATGGTGAAGCCCGTTGTAGAGCAGACTCCTCTTGTCGTGCTGGAGCCTGAGGCCGGGGAGGGCTTACAGGCTCTTGCAGCTGCTGTGAAGGCGAACCCGAGCGTCGTGCTACTTGATAGTGGATGCTCCCACCATCTCATGGGAGATCGTTCTGCCTTTGTGGAGATGAGCAGCGGCGGTAGTATCAAACAAGTGAAAGGCTTCAACGGCGCGCTTCAGGACGTGCAGGGGCGAGGCACAGTCGCTCTTCTTGGAGAAGGGGGCAGGCGTCTCTTGGTGTCTGACGTGCTGTACGTACCTGGAGTGCAGGCGAGTCTTCTTTCTGCTGGGCAGCTGCGTGATAGTGGTGTGCAACTGCTGGATGCAGGCGACGTGACTCTGCTGCGGGCACCAGATGGGTCACTTCTTGGGCGTGCAGAGTACAAGGGGCGTGTTCTCTGCACGAACTTCCAACCGTGTTTGTCGCAGCAGCAGGAAGGCGAAACGGTGGCACTTCGTACCTTGACGACGGGCGTGCGGTCTAAGGTGGACATGTGGCATGCGCGTATGGCACACGTTGGTATTGATGCCATCGAGCGCACTGCGTCTCACGGGTCAGTGAAGGGCTTGGACCTGGAGAAGGGGGGCAAATCAGGCATACCGTGTGTCTCCTGTGTTGGGGGGAAGATCACTCGTCATACCTTCCCGCCAGTGGGTGCGGAGGAGGATGAGTTGCTTGGGGTGGTGCATGCTGACCTGTGTGGCCCTTTCCGTGAAACAGCTAAGGACGGCAGCCGCTACTTCCTGGTGCTGAAGGATCGCAAGTCGCGGTACGTCTGGGCCTACCCTTTGGCTCAGAAGAGTGATGCGCTGGCGGCGTTCCAGAAGTGGCTCCCGATGGCAGAGCGGCAGTGCAAAACCACGGTGCAGGCGCTGCGCACTGATCGAGGTGGCGAGTTCTTGGGGCATGACTTCACGCTCTTCCTCGACGGCAAAGGCATCATCCATGACCTCACGTGCCCGTACACGCCGGAGCAGAACGGGATGGCCGAGAGGGAGATGCGCAGCATTGTGGAGGCGGTGCGGACGATGCTACTGCACATGGGTGTACAGCATCATTGGTGGCACCTGGCGTTGGCGCAGGCCGTCTGGGTGCGCAACCGCGTGGAGCATGCCTCGCTGCCCTCTGGTGTGACGCCGTACGAGCTCGCCTTTGGACACAAACCCGATGTCAGTATGGTGCGGGTATGGGGCTGCATGGTGCAGTACATGGTGCCTCAGTCGCAGCGTGGGGGGAAGCTGGCACCAAAGGCTCGCTGGGGGTTGCACTTGGGGGTGTCCGCAGCGAGCAAGGGCTGGACTGTGCTGGACTTGGAGTCCAACCGCCTCATCATTACTGTGGAAGCTGTTTTCTATGAGACCATGTCCCTGGCAGGATGGAAGGCTTGGCACCAGCAGGAGCATGCGGGGCGTCCGATGCCCTATGAGCCCGTTCCCTCCCTCTTCCCGATCACTCTTGAGGAGGCGGTGGCAGAGGAGGAGGTGGTCGCACCTCCTGCTATGCCCTATGTCCCTACCTCGGTCCCCACCCCACCTCCGCCTTCAGTTTACCCTCGTGTGGTTCCCCCTGCCCCACCTTCTTCATCCTCACCCCCCTTGGCTTCCCCTCCTCCTCCTGTTATTCCCTCTCCCCTTCCACCCTCCATCCCTCCTGCACCTGCTCCACCCTCCTCTTCATCTTCCACGGCGCCGCCCGTTGGTGAGGGGGGGATAGTGGTGCCACCGTCTGTGGAGATCACCGACGGGCAGCGCCTTGAGACTGAGCAGCTGCAAGACAAGAGCAGTATGGATGGAGTGCAGCAGAGTGGGGGGCAGGAGAGAGGGGAGCAGCAGTTAGGGGAGCAGCAGAGTGGGGAGCAGCAGATAGGGGAGGAGCAGATTGAGGAGCAGCAGATGGTGGATCAGCAGCTAGAGGAGCAGCAGACAGGGGAGCCGCAGACAGGGGAGCAGGAGCTGTGGGGAATCAGAGATGGTGGTCGTGTGTTGGCTTCTGGGACGATCACTGCGCCACTGCGTCGCTCCACTCGCATCACCCGTGGTATCCCGCCTCTTAAGTATGCTTGGGCTTTAGTGATTGAGCCGGCGGGATTGGATGACGAGGAGGAGGACGAAGAGTGGACGGACCTGGACCCTGACGTGGTGGCTGACCCTGAGAGGCAGTGGGATATAGCGAAGATGACAGTGAAGGAGGCCTTGGGCTGCTGGAAGGGCGACAAGGTGAAGGAGGCGATGGATGAGGAGATGCGGAGCTTGATTGAGCAGGGGACGTGGGAGTTGGTTCCGCGTCCGCCAGGGGTGAATGTGATGAAGAACCGCTGGATCCTGAACACCAAGTTCCGACCTGATGGGGTAGTGGAGCGTGAGAAGGCGCGGCTGGTGGTGAAGGGGTTCACGCAGGTGGCAGGGGTGGACTATGAGGAGACGTACGCCCCCGTGGGAAGCTATGTGACGGCGCGCGTACTTCTGGCGATCGCAGCTATGTGACTTGGAGCTGATGCAGCTAGATGTGAAGAATGCGTTCCTCCATGGCGTGCTGGACCGAGACCTGTACATGGAGCAGCCGAGCTACTACGAGGATGGGACTCCTCGTGTCTGTAAGTTGTTGAAGAGTCTGTATGGCCTCAAGCAAAGCCCGATGCTGTGGTATGAGGCCTTGGATGGGGTGCTGCTTGGGGCTGGATGGAAGAAGAGCAAAGTGGATGAGGCTTTGTACTTCAAGAGTGATGCTGACGGGGAGATGTGCTGGCTGCTGGTGTATGTGGATGATTTGCTTGCTGCCAGCCGCAGTCAGAGCATGCTGGGGGAGCTACGTGAGCTGCTGCAGAGTGCGTTTCAGCTGCGGGAGATTAGCCCTGTGGAGAAGTACCTGGGGCTGCAGCTGATTCGGGACAGGCCTACGAGGAGGCTGTGGCTGCACCAGGGGGCCTACGTGGACAAGGTCCATAGGCGCTTCTTCGACGGGGAGCAGCCGCTGCGAGTGCCTCGCACCCCCCTTTCCTCTGACCCTTTCAGTGTGCAGACCTTTGAGGATGCGGGATGGCAGTCTCGCCAGGAGGAGGAGTACAGGCAGAAGGTGGGATCCTTGCAGTTCGCAGCCTGTACCACTCGTCCCGACATCTCCTTTGCCTGCAGCAAGCTGGGGTCAGGCCAGACTGTGCGGAGTGACCAGCACTGGAAGGAGTTGGACCGGTGCTTGGCGTACTTGGTGGGGAGCAGGGATGTTGCGCTGGAGTTTGGTGGTGGGCCTGAGTCCTTGGAGCTGGTGGGCTATGCCGATGCGGATGATGCGGGAGACAAGCAGAACAGGACTAGCACTGGTGGCTATGTCTTCGTGCTCGGAGGTGCTGCTGTCTCGTGGGCGAGCCAGAGGATTCGTTGCGCCACCCTCTCTTCCACTGAGTCTGAGTACGTTGCTGCTGTGGAGGCGGGGAAGGAGGCGCGTAGGCTGCGCTTCCTGCTGGCAGAGTTTCAACTGCTGAGGAGTGAGGTTCCCACTACTCTCTTTGTGGACAACTCCTCCGCCATTTCAGTGGCAGGTGGCATGGGGCTCAAGGGGAGCCTCAAGCACATGGAGCGTCGTCACATGTGGCTGCAGCACATGGTCAAGCGCAGGAAGCTGCAGCTGCAGTACATCCCTACGAGCGAGCAGCCTGCTGACTACCTTACCAAGGCATTGCATTTCCCCGCCTTCAGTCGTTGCTTCGAGGCTGTGGGGCAGGTGAGGCTCTCGAGCGAGGGGAGTGAGACCTAGACACTCCGTGATGTGGATGGTGCCATGGCCTATCCATGGCTGGTGCGGTGCGTGTTTGCACTTTGAGAGTGCTTCGTTTGTGTGTGTTTCCCTTTGTTTGGTGTGTATGTGTTTATGCATGCCCTGTGATTATAAAGGGCCTTGCTGTAGTATGGCAGGGGAGTGTTAGAGGGCCCTACGACAGCAAGGGCCCTCGCGAAATGTTAGACTTGGCAGGTTGACGACCGACGACCTGGTCTACTCGGCACCGTCGCACAGGTTCGATGGCAGTCAAGTGTGACTACGGGTGAATGCGAGCTGCAGTAAGGAATCTGCTGAAGTCGGTGCTGGGAAGTAGAGTCGTGGGAGTCTTTGTGTGCTTCCTTATGAGGCACGCCACTCCCAAGCTGAGTCGGATGGAGTTGCGTGCTCGGAAGGTTTTCGCTGCTGAGTTGGATGGAAGTTTGGCGGGGCGCGTTCGCCAACTCCCACAGCACTTTCGTGTGGGTTGGGTTACTCGCAGCGCCCTCGCTACCTTTTGTGAACGCTTGCTTGCCTTTATATGTTTGTGTTTGCTTGTGTGTTTCATATATTCTATTTTCCTAGTGAAGTCCAATCTCTACTCAAATTCTCACTTAGTCATTTGAGACCAACGCTACCCAAACGCTACCGAATTCCTAGCGCAACATCATTCCCATAAGCAGAATCTCTCTCGCCGTCGTAGTGCTCTCCATAATATTCCTTCACAGGAGGCATGCAATGAAGGGAAAGCCGCACGCCTTGGGAGGGTGTGGAAGGGGTGTGAGGGAACATACACAATGCAGTGAAGGAACAACAGTAGTAAGTTTGGAAATCCGAAGGCCAGTGCTCAGCTCACAATGAGAGTGAATGATGCCACCAGGAGAATCGGTTGGTGACGGACTGGTTGAGCCAGCGGTGGGTGTTCACCAGCAGCACATACCCCGTCCGTCCACCACCCACCGGCCTCCTTGGGCTTTCCAAACACTATCTGAATCTGACTGAACCTCATGCGCTGCTTGCTCACAATGAGAGTGAGGTGGTGCCACCAGGAGAATCGGTTGGTAACGGCTTCGTTGAGCCAGCGGTGGGTGTTCACCAGCAGCACATACCCCGTCCACCACCCGCCTGCCTCCTTGGCGCGCATGCGATTCCCCGTGTCCTTCCACCTGCCAGCAGCAGGGAGTAACACCATAAGTGAGATGGGTTGGTGAAAGTGACAGCAGCAATATTCAGCCAAGGAGTTTAGAGGCCGGTTTCGCTTCGGCAAAGGCGAATGGGTCCTGCTGTAACCAAACGCTGACAAACTCACCTAAATTCCGCATCCGCGCTATAGACATATCTGTCCAGCAGCGTACCGCGACAGTTCCTCGCCGTCTCGCAGCCGCTTTGCGGGAAAAGCGGCGACCCGGACGACTGCGCGATATCAGCGGAGAGCAGGCTTGGTCGCACGAGCTCAAAGAATGTCAAACATGCGACGGTCAGTGCGACGGCGAGCGGCAGAATGCGACGAGTAAGAGCGGCCTGGAGGCGCCTGACGAGGACACCAGGGCTTGACGCGTGCATCCGCGTCATAATATACGGTTTTGTGTGCTGCTTTATTTCCCTCGCACCAAACCACTGTAGGTTGTTACTGCTGAGAACCTACATGCAGGTCACTTACCATCCCGAACTGGCTCCATATTGTTCAATGCAACCACGAAAACCATGTCGCGACTCGCGAGGTTTCAGTCGAGTATCTAACTACACGTGGGTGCTGAAAGTAGCTCCCAGTTCGGTTTTCTCAATGTGGGTCTTGAAATGACCCTCTTAAACGTTGCTTCGATTGCGGGATAAAGGGCAAGCTCGGGGGGCACACCTCTAACGGCAATCCTACGCCTCTGTTTGGAACAGCAGCCGTTTTAGCTGCAAATAAAAATGCCTAGGTTTAATGACGTCGACAATTTGAGAGCAATGTGCCCGCAAATCTTACCAGATAGAAATGGTTTAAACCACAAAGAATCCTAGTGCCATTGATGAGACTATGTTAATTTCAAAAACTCTACTGTACGGTTGGACAATTCAACAGAATCGATCAGGAAATTTGGAAATGATAAGCCATCGTGTTCATTCTCACCCTAAATTTTGCCATTTCTTCAAAAGTTTGCAAGCAATCGGATTTGACGATTTTTGACATCTAAAAAGATTCTCCAGATTTTCTAGCATCTCTTCAATGGCAATGGTGAGTCGGTCTCAGACGAGTACCTTAGTCAGTGATAGAAGTAGAGAACAAAACGAGGGGGAAGATTTCAGGCAGAAAGAATCTAAACACATGGGTGCTGTTCGCCAGCACCAATATAACTGAAAACGACGGGATAACAACGGGATCAGGAAGGTGGGTCTCGCCTTCCTGATCCCGTCAGTTAGAGTTCGTTAACCTCCGTCAGCTTGGTCAGCCCGTGAAAAATGTGCCGAGCCTCACCAACCGTCCAAACCAATTAACAAAGTGGGCGTCTGGCGAACGCCCACTTTTGTACACCGATTTTTACGTTTCGACGGCATTTGGAAGCGGGGACGAAACTTCCTCCCCAGGCAAAACACCATCCCCTTGCAATGCCATCGTCATGCTGCGTTTTTCGAAGCACAGCGGTGGCACAGCGGTGGCACCGCGGACGCATTGCTGTGCAGGGGAACCCTCGAACAAGCCTTCATTTTGACACAGGGGGGTTCGTATACCCCCCATTTTTCCATCACAAACACAGGGAGGTGCGTTTTATTTGCGTTTTTTACCCACGTTGAACATTTTTTGGTCAGCGGGCAGCAGGTGGGTCAGTGATGTGCAAATTTCGCGCCATTGGGAGGAAGGTGGGGATGGACCTTCCCGACGCGGTTGCGAAATTTCGTCGTTTGGGCGCGCGTAGTTTCTCGTGCGGCATTTCGCCCAAACCTCGGAGGAGGGTTCCACCCCCGTTTCCATATGCGGTCACGATGCTGATGCCGCCGTTTTCAATTTAAAAAACGATGTGCTGGCGAACAGCACCGTGGATCCTATGCCTCATAGCCTGGCACGAGTCTGTTCTACGAGCAGCATCGCATCATTCAGCAGCGCCAGCAACAGCGATCGTCGCCCGTTCATTCTGCCAAGCGCCTCGACGAGTCGTCTCTTTCTGTTTTCCTTTTCCGTCCTTAGCGTCTTCACAGAGATTTACAGGGATTTTGATTACCAGCTGGCACTGGACCCTGGTCAAAGTAGCTGGGATCACATGTAAAGTATGGTTACTTTCGGAAGAGTAAAATCGTCGCTCGTCGCTTAACGGAGATAAATCGTATGGCGGCACGTTTTGAGAGCTCTCAAAATGCACCAGGAGCGTCGCACCATCTAGAGAAGGAGGTTCGGCTCGAACCAGACGCCGAGGCTGTTGAGGAGATTCTAGAAGATGACGTGGAGGATGCGGAGAAGAAACGCGAAACTACGCGGAATGAGCGACGAGGGGAAGCGGAGACGGCAAGGGAGACTGGTGGGAGGGAAGGTGGAGAAGAGGAGGGGGAAGAGGAGGAAGGGGAGGAAGAGGAGGGTTGGGAAAGGGAGGAGCATCTGACGATCGGTGACATCATGAACCGAGTATGCATCCCATGCCATGCCATGCCATGCCATGATTTCTCCCGTTATTAGCCAATACATTTCAAAAGTCCAGACTCTTTGCAGTCTCCATTGCTTGCAATGCCTTACTGACTCTCCTCACAATGCTATCTTATCCTGTCCTGGCATCTACTTGTTCTTTTCTTCCTGTCTTTTGAGTCAACTCAAAAGTTGACTTTTGAGTCGACTCAAAGGTCAACTTATCCTGTCCTGGCATCTCTTGTTCTTTTCTCCCTGCCTCATTTCCGCTCCTGATACCTGACTGACTCGTTCCTGTCGTCTTTGAGGCGACTCACGAATCACTTACTTCCAGTGCTTTTGACGCGTAACATCCATGCTTTGTGGCATGCATGTCTGTTGACATCCATGCATGCAGGCAATCGCGGAGCAAGCATTCCCGGGAGGAGCGGTGGCCTTTGGCTCATTCGAGGGCCCTGTTTTCCACGCCCGTGAGTGCCGTGCCATTATCTCACATCTATGCAGCAGCTTCTTGTTTAGCCACTTTTTTTATCCCGCGTAATAGTGAATCATTCGTCAGGTTGCTCAACGATTTTCAGCGTACATGTCATCGGGTTATCCGCCCGCACTCCTCCCGTCTATAATATCTACGAATCCGCCATCCTTTTCCTCCGTGTACCCTCATTGGCATGCGTTGTTCCATGGCACATGGCACACGGCACATGGCACATGGTCCATTGACATGGACACTACATCTGACTGGGGTTCTCAACCAATCCAGCCTTCGGCACATATACCTAGTATGCTCTTTTACACTAAACTGAAGCCCTGAAGCCAACCATCAATGCATCTTTCCGCTGCTTTCTGTTCTATACATCCCATTCAGTCTGCTTTGCTGAAACTCGTTTCTATTGGTGACCATTTTCGTTCTAGCTCCTCTCCCATCCCATCCCTCATCCTCTTCCGCATCCCTCCTTGTCCCTCCCATCCCATCCCTCATCCTCTTCCAGTCAGTCAGTCCAAGAATCTTTGGCTGTGAGACATTCATGATCTTATTCTCTTGAACTGATTCTAATTTCACTTGTCTCTCTTTGCGCATCCCTCCTTGTCCCTCCCATCCCAGTGATTGCAACAGACCCATCACCTCCGACTCTCTTTGGGACCTGGCCTCTCTCACCAAGGTGAAGAGGGTGGGGGGGTGGAGAAGAGGAAGGGGGGAAGGGGTGGGCGGTTGTGGCGTTTGAAAGTGGGTGGTTGCCCTATCCTATCCCTGCCAGGATCCTGCATGTGGGGCTCGTTTGTATGAATATTTGTTTTGAGACGTCTCAAAACAAATCTTCATACAAGTGGGTGGCTGCCCTATCCTATCCCTGTCAGTATTCTGCATGTGGGGCTCTTTTGATTATCATTGCTGCACGTTTGGCACTCACTGCACTGCACTGTCTCGCATGCCTGTCTGTCCCATCCCATGTCCTCTTGAGTCTTTGCAAAACATGGCCACTGTTCCTGCTGCACAGCAATGATCTTTCAGAGAATATTCTACCACTATACGATCGCCACCGAGTCACTGAATGTACCGACTGACATACCTGTCTGTCTGTCTGTCCAACGTGCCCTTACATCTCTGCAGATCATGGCCACTGTTCCTGCTGCAATGATCCTCTACGAGAAGGGTCTGCTGGGTAAGCTCCTCCTCCTCCCACGCCGTTTCTCCACCTTCCGCCTGCGCTGTATTTGCTCCTTTCCGGTCTTGGCCCCTCTCTTGGCAGTGATTTGGCCCTCGTGTTTTGCGGCTGCCAAGCCAAGCCCCACCCTCTCACACGCCACCACCAAATCACTACCACCACCACTAAATCTGCACGCCCCAGTGCATCGTTACCTGCCAGATTTTGTAAAGCAAGTGACAGTACTCATGCTGCTGACAAGCTGTGAGCAGCTTTTTGGCAAGTCTGATGGGTCTACCACCACCACTACCTATCCTCCAATTCCCTTCCCCACCACCACTACCAGGCTTACAAGCCCCAGTACATCACTGCCTGCCTGCTTTCGGCGCGAACAGCAAGCACGTGGTGACGGTGCGCATGCTGCTGGCTCACCCTTCCCCCCCCCCACCCCCCCCACCCCCCGCAACCTCCCTCCACCACCACCACCACTACCAGACTTACAAGCCCCAGTGCATCGATACCTACCAGCATTCGGAGCAAACGGCAAGCACGTGGTGACAATAGAGATGCTGCTGACTCACACCGCTGGGCTGAGGGAGTTCCACCCCTTCTTCTCCCTGCAGCTCTCCACTCGCCAGCAGGTGAGTAGCCTTATGGCTAGAGGCATCCGGAAACTCTCAATGCAGCAGACAGCAGGTGTGTATGGTGAGGGAATGGAAGGGCATTGGCTGGGTGAAAAGGCAAGGAGGTGGTGACGGTGCACATGCTGCTGACACACACCGCTGGGCTGAGGGAGTCCACCCCTTCTTCGCCCTGCAGCTCTCCACTCGCCAGCAGGTGCGTGCTCTTGCTCTGAGCCATCCAATACCCCTCTAGTGTCACATTACAACTGACTGACTGGATATGTTTTTTGCCCTTTATCACATGATTCGATCACAGTTGATTGACTTTTCTATGGCGGACCGCCTCTGATATCCTCCTATGTTCACATCTGACGGAGTGAGATTTTTTTCTCTCTCTTTCATGTGACTCAATCGCAGGTGATTGACTTTATCATGGCAGACCATCTCTGGTACCCCCCTATAGTCACAACTCGCTACAGCGACCTCTCCATGATCGTCCTCGCGCTCGTCATCGAGCGAATCACAGGCTGCCACCTCAGCACGTTCGTCCACCGGGAGATCTTCAGCCGGCTGGGCATGACTAGCACGGCGTTCCGACCAATCCCAGGGCAGCATGGCGGCGCGTTCCGACCAATCGGGAATGCAGGAGTTGATCCCCATGTGGTGCCCACAGAGGTGGACTCATTGCATCGCAAGAAGCTGCTGTGGGGGGAAGGTGAGAGGGAGAGGGGAGAGGTGAGGGGTAGGAGGCTCTGGTGGAGTGTACGAGATGGTTTCTCTGCATCGCAAGAAGCTGCTGTTGGGTGAGTGAAAGTGCAGAGGGGGCAAGGTTGGTTACCCTCGTCGTCCCTCCAGTGCACATCCCCACCCCACAGCATTGATCGTGGGAGAAGTGGTGTGGCATTTTCACTGCACCAACCCTAAACTTATTTCCCACACCATCCCCTTTTGAGAGTCTAGTTTTGAGACGTCTCAAAACACGGCATGGATCATGGGGGGCGTGGCGTTCTCATTGCAATATCCCCCCCCCCCCCCCCCATCCGTTTCCCCCTCCCTCCCATTCAGTGCACGACCCAACGGCATGGATCATGGGGGGCGTGGCAGGCCATGCAGGCCTCTTCTCAACCATCATTGATGTCACCAAGGTAGCACGCTCTGATACCATAGCATGCATCGTTCTTTGTTTTTTTTTCTCTCTCTCATTCATTGTTTTCCAAAGCTGCGAAAAGGGGGAGTGCACAGAGGAAGGGGGAAAGGAGCGGATAGTAGAACAGGGGGTCTGCTATCACCTGATAGCATAGCTATACTATCAGGGGGTATAGCAGACCACTTCAGGTGTAGCCAAGCCAATGCACAACAATTCTTCCACTCCACCATGCTAGCAGGAGGCTCGGGCCACTTCAGCTACACCATGCCATGCAACTGCTTGGCATCAGCTGGTTCCCCTGCTCCTGCTCCTGCTCCTGCTCCTGCTCCTGCTCCTGCTCCTGCTCCTGTTCCTGCTCCTGCTCCTGCTCCTGCTCCTGCTCCTGCTCCTGCTCCTGTTCCTGCTCCTGCTCCTGCTCCTTCTCCTGCTCCTGCTCCTGCTCCTGCTCCTGCTCCTGCTCCTGCTCCTGCTCCTGCTCCTGCTCCTGCTCCTGCTCCTGCTCCTCCTCTCCCTGGTTTGCAGTTTGCTCCCTGCATGCTAGCAGGGGGCACAGAACCCAACACAGAGCATCAGCTGGTGTCATCACACCCCCCTTTCCCTCCTGCTTCTGCCCCTTTGTCTCCAGTTCGCTCGCTGCATGCTAGCAGGGGGCACGGACCCAACCACGGGGCATCAGCTCGTGTCATCGCGCACTCTTCGCCTCTTTACCACTCCGCCCCCTCCTTCTGACCACAACCCTCGACCCTTTGCCCTCGGGTAATAACCCCTTGCTGTATGGGTTATTTCAAAGATTGTTCAAATATGCCTCCGGTTACAAGCCTTGCCCCTTTGCCCTCGGGTGACGACTCACTTGTGATTACTGGGATGACCTCGTTTTTTACTCACTCAGTTCTTGTTTTAAGAGTACCTTTTAACCTCCCTACTGGATTTGCCACAACCCTGTTCAACGATGCTCACTCTTCCTCCGATTTCACGACTTCTCTCACTCCACACCTTCTCTTATCCCTTTCTCCCTCCTTTTTTCTCTCCTCCACTTCTCCTTCCCTGTCTCGCTTTCTCTCAGGTGGGACGTGGCAAGCAGAAGGGGCAAGGATGGGTACACATCAGCGGGTAGATTTATGGGGCCGCGCACCTTTGGTCATACGGGCTTTACTGGTGAGACGTTGTGGTATGAGGCAGGGGGGTGGTTATTTTCTAAAAAATCACCCACATCAGCGGGCCGATTCATGGGACCTCGCACCTTTGGCCACACGGGCTTTACTGGTGAAACGCCAAGCCATGTCTTCTGAGCTCCTCTCGCCTCCACTTTCATTTTCACTTGCACAAGCCTACTGTGCAGAAATCGATTGCCAGAACCTTTCTCCCCCTCTGTAGAAGAAGAAGAAGAAAACCAAAAAAAAACAAACAAACAAACAAACAAACAAACAAACAAACAAAAAACCTGCTCTTCTGAAACACCCTGTTTTCAGGGACTTCATTGTGGATAGACCCAGATCGCAACACTTTTGTGGCTCTGCTCTCCAATGCCGTGCATCCCTCCGTGGTGAGAAACGTTCCATTTTCCCTTTTCTTCGTACTTTTGGTCGCATTTCCGGTCCATCACTGTTTGTCCCTCTTTGCCAGCGCTGCATTCACCACTCTTGGTTAACTGACCTTCTTGCTTGCTACTTAGGCGCACTGGCACTCCTACCCTCTCCCTCTCCCTTTTCCCATCAAAGACACGCCAACGTCCCTCACAATTTCGCGATGTGCGTCCTCTCATTGTCAATGCTGCTGTCACTAGGCTTGGCCGGCTGACCCTCGTACTGCTTTTGCTCATACCCCTGCCTCATCCCTTCCCTCTGCACACATCCAGGACACCCCAACGGCCCTCACTGTTCGCAACGTGCGCCCTCTTGTTGCCAATGCTGCTGTCACCACGCTCGGTCAACTGGGCCTTCCCCGGCGCACTCTCACCTGGCACCTGGGCTCGCAGACAGGCACACAAACAGGCACACAGACTGGTGTCGAGACAGGCGCAGAGACAGGCACACATAGAGGTGTTGAGAGTGGTGTTGAGGATGGTGTTGAGAGTGGTGTTGAGGATGGTGTTGAGGATGGTGTTGAGGATGGTGTTGAGGATTGTGCAGAAGCAGGTGCAGGGGCAGTGGATGGCACAACAGGGGTTCAAGAAGCGAGGATAGCAGTAGCATGTGGAGTAACAGGAGGAGAAGCAAGAGCAGGAGGAGAAGCAAGCGCAGGCCAGGTATCCACACTGATCGCAGCTCAAGGCAGGAGGGTGGGAGCAGCAGCACCAAGGGGAGCACAACCAAGGGGAGGCAGGCTGGCAGCAAAGCCATCTCTGTCTCAGCACCACCAAGGGGAGGAGGGTCAGCACGGAGAACCGCTTTCCCCTCAGAAGGTGCGGGCTACCCAGCAGCAGACCCAGCAGTGCAGACATGCCCTGCCACAGCCATGCCGACCGGCTGTAGGTTGTGCAACAGCAGGGGCGTGCGAGACAGCAGGGGCGTGCGAGACTGCAGGGGCGTGCGAGACTGCAGGGGCGTGCGAGACTGCAGGGGCGTGCGAGACTGCAGGGGCGTGCGAGACTGCAGGGGCGTGCGAGGCAGCAGGGGCGTGCGAGGCAACAGGGGCGTGCGAGGCAATAGATGGGTTCGAAACTGGTTGCACATGTGGTGGAGCAACAGAGACATGCATCCTAGGTGGGGCTTGTGAGGCAGGTGGGGCGTGTGAAGCAGCACATGGGTGCCAACCCAGCTGCATGCGTGACGCAGCAGAGTTGTGCGGATCAGGTGGGGGCTGTGAGGCAGGTAGATGTGAGGCAGGTAGATGTGAGGCAGGTAGATGTGAGGCAGGTGGGGCAGGTGGATGTGAGGCAGGTGAAGCATGTGAGGCAGGTGGGGCATGTGAGGCAGGTGGGGCATGTGCGGCAAGAGGAAACACAGATGAGCGTTGTATCGGTCTAAACCAGAGGATGGCATGTGCCACTACCAGATCGGCACCAGGCTGTGTGCCAAATGGGTTTGTCGCAGCTGGTGGGGAAGAAAAGCGGCAGCAGCAGCAGCAGCAGCAGCTAGCTCTTCCTTGTAGGTGTGCTACTGCTAGATGTGAGCTGGAGGGGTCCTCAGCCAGACGTAGTTTTGAGGAAGAGGTAGACCATCAAGAGAAGAGTGCGCCAGTGCTGCTTCGATGGCTTACAAAGTTGGACAGGGAGCAATTCGCTAGAGGTGGGCTTGTACTCCTTATCACTGCCTTCATTTTTGTTTTTTGAATGCATGCATTTACGGTATTTGTGTATCAATCCCTGAGGGATGCTCTTGCAGCTCCTTCCTACCACATGGGCACACTCTAGCAAAACCGCATTCAACAAAGAACATGGATTCATGCAATACCGTATGTGAAAAGGTGTTGTACACATGGTAGGCAGGCAGTGACATGCACATGTCACGAAATGACATCACTTTCACTATAACTTCACACATGCACATGTCGCAAAATGACATCACTTTCACTATGACTTCACACATGCATTCGCCTGTCATCTCGCCCGGCCCCCTTGCCTGTCATCTTGCCCGGCCCCCTTGCCGCTGCCTGTTGCTGCTGGCACTGCGGCTAAGTTGCCGCTGTGGCTGCACGGGTGGTGGGTGGCGTAGCAGGCTGTGTAGCAGGATAGCTGCGAAGCAGGGAAAGGGGAGGAGGATATGGGGGAATTCAAGCGAGTCGGGGTAATCGCCAACAGGGCAAGACTTGGGGCATTATGGGGCCTGCACGGGTGGTGGTGGCATATCAGGCTGTGTAGCAGGATAACTGCGAGGCAGGGATGCGAGGGGACAAGTGAAGAGAGGACACATGGGAGCAGTCCGGCGAGTTGGGGTGAAAAGGGCAACACATGGGCTATTGGGGGGGCTGCAGGGGTGGTTGGTAGTGAAGCGGATGTGCATCAGGATAAGTGCAGGGATGGAAGAGGAGGAAGGCTGAGGGCGTTTTGAGTCAGGCAAGGTGGAGGGCGTTTTGAGTCAGGCAAGGTGGAGGGCGTTTTGAGTCAGGCAAGGTGGAGGGCGTTTTGAGTCAGGCAAGGTGGAGGGCGTACCAAAGAGAGAGAGGCTGAGGGCGAGTGAGAGAGCCGGCACAACTCTGAAGCAGAATGCCACCACCCACAGGGCTGGTGAGTCAGGAGGGGAGGGACAGGACGAGAGAGGAGGGTGTGGCTTTGAGTCACACAAAAAAAAAAAAAAAAAAAACCTAGGGTTGAGGGCGAGTGAGAGCCGGCACAACTCTGAAGCAGAATGCCACCACCCACAGGGCTGGCGAACGAAAGGGGGGCGGCAGGGACAGGAAAGAGAGAAAACATCGTGAGCGAGAAAGGAAGGCGAAGTGAGAGCGTGAGCGGAAACAGTCAAGCAACTGTTTCAAAGGTGCCTCAAAATGTGATATCCCGTTCCATAACCCACACATACACCACCAATACCCACCCCACCCTTCCCAGCCCATCCTTGGCCCACCCAGGATACACACCTAGCTGCAGCAGGAATCGGCCAGTGTGAAGGCGCCAGCTGTCCTTGTGCACTCGCAGAGCCGCGTTGCACCTTTTCAGCTCGTGCCACAGCCGCACCAGGCCCACCAGTCCCGCGCATGCCACTGGCCGCTTGTACCTGCAGACGAGTGAGCAAGCACAGACGGACGGGCGGATGGGAGAGTATGGAAACCTGGAAACCTGCAGCTCCTGCCACGGCCTCACCAGGGCTACCAGTCCCACACACGCCACTGGCCGCTTGTACCTTCAGGCGAGTGAGCAAGCACAGACGGACGGACGGACGGATGGAGGACGGAAATGGAAACCTGGAAAGCTGCAGCCCGTGTGAGGGGGATGGAGGAGGGAAGAAAGGGGGGATGGGGGATGGGATGGAGGGAAAAGGAGGTATGCATGGGCGACCGGGGGGGAACAAGGCAGGGTTTAAGGTAGTGGGTACGGGGACGACAAGCAGGCAACAAGGTTACCGTCACGAATATCGGAAGAACAGGGCATGGGGAAACGGGGAAATGGGAAGCACTCAGGGCAAGCAGGGGATATGCGGCTACAATGACTGCCAGGCAAATTAGATGGAGAACGTAGACACGTACATGACGCAAACGAGGAAGAATAGAAGGACCCGGAGGTAGTTTCCCAGAAACTCCACGAAATTCGCGTCCACACGCCTCCCCATTTCTCTCCAGCTGCCCGGAAAGGAATACGCCGACCGTAATTGACTCCTGCCGAAAAACGAATCCGTCCACGGTAGAGGCGGTTTTTTTAGATCCTCTATAGTTAGCATCGATATACGACTGGACGGCGTTGCTGTAGTGGATCGCCGAGATCCGTTATAAGGAGGCGCGTTTCCGGCACCGGACGAGCCTTCTCGACCTCCTCTCCATCTGTTAACATCATCCGTTGGATCTAACGAATCTACACCGTTCCCCTGAGCTCGCCGGAGTGCCTGGTCCTGCAGTAACGCGTGGACTTGTTCTGGCGGGAATGCTAGCGACAGCGGGTTCTGTGCGAACGCCATGGGCGATTTCGCCAGTTACCCTAATCTCGGCTGCTTGTCTGCCTTGAAGTGCCTCCTGTAAACCCGGTCCTAGATCCTGCCTGCTGTAAGCTTATCGTCCTAGCTGCCCAGCCCTGACTTAAAAAAGCTGTTTCCCAAATCAATTGCGAAATCCGGACAGACGCAGAAACAGATAGGCAGGATCAACTGAGACGCGGGTCGCAGGTTACCCTAATCGGATTAATCGCAGCACCCGAGAAACTGTTGCCGAGGATACACGCCGTGCATGACGGAAAGGTGATGCGGGAAGCTCGAGGGTCACATGGGACTAGACGGTAACTTCGAGATAGAAAGGCCGCACAGAGGTGACTGCTGCTTCTTATTGAATTTCCCCGTGTTGATATTTTTATTTGTGAGAAACCGAAAGCAAAGCAAGTACTCTAAATGGAAGAGGCGCTCCTAGCGGGTACTTTACAAAGAAGGCAAGTATTAGGTTTTGCTGGAAACGATTTGTTCATTTCGTATCGGTGCGTACACCAGCGGGTACAGAGATGCTGACCTGTCGAAACCTAGTCATCCACTTCAGCATGAGCATGCCACGCTTGCACCCGCCAAAATGCGACACGGCTGACGAGGAAGACACGGAGGACTTCACAGCCCTCTCAGTCAACCCGGCCAATCCCCTGCTGCTCTCTGCTCCGCTGGATGCATTTTCCGAGCCGCGGCCTTCCGTTCGACAGTTCAACTGGCGATCACTAAAACTCCTCGCCGTCGCAAGAATCGGCCTTGCGCGTCGCGCAATTCCACATCGTCGCAGGGGAGAATTCGCCCCGCTGGCAGCACATGAACAAGGAAATGTTTTCTGTCTCCCTCGCTCATCTCATCCCCATCAGCTGCCCCTCCCCTCCTCATCCCCCCCTCTTCCTCGGCCATCACCCCCTCACCTGCCCCTCACCCTCATCCCTGCCACCCACGCCATGAACCCAAGATCGTAATACAAAACGCCTCGTGCATATTTCCATTTTCAACATTTTAGACTCTGTTCCCTTGCCATATGAGCATAACCATTCCGAATCCTCATATCCAAAAGCCGCTTTCCGGCTTAAGTTTAATTGTTTACTCCTGACGCATCTTGTCGAGTCCTGTTAGACTCCTACCGGCACTACTAGTAGAACCATATTTTTCCTAGTACTAGCACTACTGGTTAAACATTGGACTCAGCACACGCACCACCAAATCCTGATGAAGAACTTCGCAATTCTTTTCCTTCTCCTCGCCCCCGTTTGGACCGTCGCACCGACCACCCACGCGTCGCGTGTTTTAAAGGCCGCCACGCCAGAATCGTGGGATTCGCCCCCGGCGGTGGTAGTGGGGATCAACTATCTGCCGGCTCGTGCGCGAAGAGAGCTCGCGACAACGAACACGGCTGTCGGAGGCTCATTTGGCGACATTAGCGAAAATCTCAGCAGTAGTGGTAACGCGGCCCCGACGACAACTCGCACGCGACGAGTTCTAGCGGGCGACTACTTTTACGAGGAAGAAGATAGCGACAACAGCGGCGGATCGAACGGCGGCGACTACTCGGGTGGCGCGTGGGAACCTCCGAAACCTCAATGGGGATATGTTGGCTCGACGGATACGGGCGGAAGCACGGAACCCTGGATGGGCGAGGACTCGGTTCCAACTGACAGCTCGTCTTCAACAGACTCTGATGCTGGCGGCGAGGAAAGCGGTGGGGAAAGCGGCGGGGAGAGCGGCGGCGAAAGCGGGGGCGATTCGAGCTGGCAAGACGAGCCATTAACCAGCGATTTCAGTGACGGCGACAGCGGCGAGGAAAGCGGCGGTAACGGCGGGACCTGGGACGACTTGTGGAGCAAGTGGGGATGGGGTTCGTCAGACGAGCCGGATACAATCAGCGGCGCGGACCCTGGGAATGGCTGGAGCGACGACGGAAGCAGCGGCGGCGACAGCGGCGGCAACGGATGGACTGACGACTCTTCGGATGGCAGTGGCGGAGGCGACGGGTCGAGCGACGGGTCGAGCGACGGGTCGAGCGACGGGTCTAGCGACTCGTGGAACGGTGGTTCTAGCGATGGATCGGGCGACGGGTCGAACGGCGCGGGCGATTGGTCGGGCGACTGGCCGAGCGACTGGCCGAACGGTGGAACGAGCGGAAGCGGATGGGGGAACCCGTACCCTGGTTATGGCTGGGTGGGATCCACAGATACGAGTGGCAGCACGGATGATAGCAGTGGAGAGGAGGCACAGTACAGCACCTTGACTACAACGGGGGGCGACGACGGCAGCAGCAGCAGCAGCGCCAGTAGCAGCGCGAGCAGCAGCAGCAGTACGACTCTCAGTAGCAGTTTCACGTCTGGAGGAGCAGACGATTCCGTGGTTCCTCTCTACCCAGACGAGGGCTCAGACTCCTCTCCCCCAGCAATTGATGATTCCGATCAGGACTCTTCCGCCTCCCCTCCCCCGTCCCGCGAGTCCCCTGGCGCTCCCCTCCCCGCGCCCCCCGGCCATCCATCCAACGGCCCCCAACCTCCGAGGAGTCCTGGCCCACCCAACGGCTCGCCTCCTCCTGCGGTTGAGACCCCCGCCGTGCCCCAGCCGCCGCATGTGCCTGGTGGGCCCACTACCCCTCCTCCCTCTGGCGTTCCCGTTGTTCCCACACCACCCTCTGATGCACCCACTACCCCTGCTCCTCCTTCTGATGGGAATGTCGTTCCTGCTCCCTCTGACGGCTCTACCACCCCCGTTCCTCCTCCTGACGGCTCCGCCACCCCCGTTCCTCCTGACGGCTCCGCCACTCCCATTCCTCCTGACGGCTCTACTGCTCCCATTCCTCCTGACGGCTCTACTACTCCCATTCCTCCTGACGGTGCCACCACCCCTACTCCTACTGACGGTGCTTCCCCTCCGCCAAACAGCCCTGCAACCCCTCCCCCTACTGCCGGCACTACCACCCCTCCTTCAACCTCAACATGCATCATGGACCAAGGAGCCGTGCAGGCAGCACTCTCATGGGCCTGTGGCGCTGGTGGCGCTGACTGCTCCGCTATCCAGCCCGGCGGCGCGTGTTACGAGCCAAATACACTCGCCGCGCACGCGTCTTACGCGTTTAATAAGTATTATCAGCAGCGTGCGCATGCGCCCGGGACCTGCTTCTTTGGAGGGACAGCTGTGGTGGTGCCGGCTCTGCCTGATTACGCAACTGAAACTGGAGGCTGCAAGTACCCTGAGGGGAATTCTCAGTTCTGTGTGGTGGGCTGCAAGTGAGAGAATAAGTAGCTCAGAGACCGTATGCAAGGGCGTTGGCGACGCGGTTACTACAATGGCCTTTTTGTGTAGGGGGGTGGGTGTTCATGGCTGGAGTTGTAGGCTTAGTGCTGGATAACATTGCTGCGTGCTATCTATTCGTATATTATGGTATGATTTCAAACAGACAGCTCTCTCAACCCAGAATCATTTGAAGTAGTCAAGCCGGGAAAACAAACTAATACGTGAGGACAAGAGTCCTTGCTGTGCATCTTAAGGACAAAATGTGTTGTAGCCCATCCATGTATACATAGCCTTCATGTTCGTATGCTTTCTTTGATAAGTAGAGCCTTCAGAATTTTGTTTCGTATGATGTTGTTGAGGCTCATAGTACTAGATATCACTATATATGCTTGCATTATCTACAATATGGGAGCTATCTCTCCTGCCACCAGCGGTTCTCATTCAGTGGAAACCTAGCTTGACGATAAGTCAAACCGCAATATCGAGTTTTGCAACTTGTGAACCTACACACACACACACACACACACACACACACACACACACACACACACACACACACACCCACCTCTAATGCAGCCACAAGAAAAAATGTTGAAACAACTTGGTGCATCCACTTGCATCCTTTTGTTCGAAGCAACCATAAATTTCATGCTAATCCACAAGGACGCAACAAATGAGACGCTTCATGTTGAAATGTATGCATACTTATCCTATGTAACGTTAGATATTTGAGAAACTGAGCATGTTAACAAGTGTTTGTATGACCAGGGTTTGTGGGTTGAAAACAGATTCTCGAAACGCGATAACGGGTTAAGGATAGGTTATGACCTGCTTCACCTTTCTGTACCACTTGCCGTGTCGTCCCGGCTGGAGGTGTTGATTCGCCAGACCTGCATTTGCGACCTCAGCGAGTTCGTCCAGCCCAGCAGTGGTGCTCCCCCAGCCCCGTTGACTCTAGGGAAAGAAGCGAGTCGCGCTGGCAGCCCCTCGGATTCTCTGCACTCTTACCGAGTCTAGCGAAATAGAAATCCCTCGTCAACCCTCCCATCGGGTGTCACCTGCTGTCAGCCTCGCTTCGCTGGAATCGTTAGATCATTTCGCACGCTATTTGGTATTCGCTGTAGTCGCTCGTTCTTTTCGCATGCCATCCTTCTGTTGCCAACAATGAGCAAGCATCTTTCTTTTCTCCCCCAACTCCGCTTCCATCCTCCCCGCCTCGCGGGTCCGGACTGGAGCCAAGAAAAACGACCCCCAACAAGTACAGAACCTCCCTTCTCTCCTTTCTGACAATATAAAGACGCAACAAATTCTCCAGTCACGCATCTCATCTTGCGTTCTAGCTAGACATTCCGCAGCTACCCCTCGCATACTATCGTTTCGCTTCTGAATTCTCGCGTGCACTATTCGTAGTAGACTTTCTTCTCCTTCTTCGAGCACCAAGATTGCCGTCATGAGACCTCTTGTGTACGCCATCCTCCTGCTCGTCCTCCTCGGCAGTCTCGATGCCGCGCTCGCCCGCCTCAAGAGGGCGCGCCCCAAGCGCGCAAGCCCCGTGATGCTCATGGACGGACGGCCGTGGTATCCTCCCCCGCAACGGTTCCGCCCCAAGCGCGCCAGCCTCGCGCACCCGCTGCCATTCGAGCGCGAACCGTCTCCGCGGAGGTTCCGCCCCAAGCGCGCCAGCCTTGTGCACCCGTTGCTAGACCGGCCCGAACCGCCTCCATTTAGGTTCCGTCCCAAGCGCGCCAGCCTTGCACACCCGCTGCTAGACCAGCGCGAACCGTCTCCGCGAAGGTTCCGCCCCAAGCGCGCCAGCCTTGCACACCCGCTGCTAGACCAGCGCGAACCGTCTCCGCGAAGGTTCCGCCCCAAGCGCGCCAGCCTCGCGCACCCGCTGCTAGATCAGCGCGAACCGTCTCCCCGTCGGTTCCGCCCCAAGCGCGCCAGCCTCGCGCACCCGCTGCTAGACCAGCGCGAGCTGTCTCCGCGGAGGTTCCGCCCGAAGCGCGCCAGCCTTGTTCACGCGGCCGAGAGCGCTCCTAGCGCTTCGCGAATGTTGCGCGGAGGAGACTTTGAAATGCCCCGCAACGGCCCTGTGACTCGCTATAGCACGGTGGACCCGGATGATTATTATCCGGACTGGTACACTCCCCCGTCGTACTGGACTGACCTGGGATACGGTAGCAGCTGGGACTATGGCAGCGACATGAGCCCTTACGGTGATTACTACCTGAACTTGAATGATCAGCTGTTTGGTGATGGCAATGATTGGTCGTATGGAGGGTATGACTCAAGCTATGGCGGGTACGGCTCAGGGTACGGCGGGTATGGAGATTTCGGTTATTATTAGGTTTTGTCACAGTGATATATGTATGGATGGGAATCCTCATCAGGCAGTATCAGGTTCAAATTCCGAGATTGCGGATTTTGATTTACGGGGCTGCTGTTTGCTGAGTGGGTGCTTGCGCTTGACGACTTTTTCCTTCCCATTGGATACATGTGTATATATCAACCTTGAATGTTTCACCTTCTTTTTTTCTTTGTATATATCATTTTCAACATCCGTTAGGTATATGAGAATGTGGTGTATTTTCCTGAACTTATTTCCTAGTTTGATCTTTTCATGCAGCTGTAGTTTGCCAGGTATAAGGTACCAACAAAGAAAAAGACCTGTATAAAAAATGGTTCAGTTTTCAATTCTTCTACCATGGAGGGCCTTGCTTGCCCACACGAGATAACAATTGCTGGTGTCTATTACAAGCTGTTCAAACAACAGTCACACGGAACTGGTAGCAATCTCTGTAGATTTTATGACAGCAGTCATCTGTACCAGGTTGTGCACTGCACATGGACCTATGCAACAGGTACACAACTAAACCCCGCCACACCCTTATCAGTGCGCGCCGGCCTCCAGCTGCAGATCAAAGTGGTACACACCTGCACCCACAGAAACGGATGGTAGCATCAGTACACGTCTCCCAAAAACCATCCTATCAAGACTAAGGTGGCTTCATTCTTAAAAGGCATGTGAGGGAATTTAGGGGCACTTACCATGACCCTTGCCAACGCGTCTGAGCTGGGAAACATAGTCAGACACCTTCTTAATTGCATCAACCTGGATACACCAGACCGGACATGATTACATCAGTGAAACACGGGAGAGAGAGAGAGAGAGAAAATGCTTTGCCAATGAACGCAACTGTACACGTACCTGCTCATTCAAGAAGTTCCCCTCTAGGAAGTCGGTAAGCTGAACATCTCCAGCATCAGCTGCAACCTGCAAAAACCATTATCAGTGCATTTAACCCCCAGACACGCACGTATTTTGAGTTCTGATGTTTGAAAAAAGATGATCACGAGGCAAATCTACAAGCGTTGATGAATCCAAAAAACCCTGAAACCGAAAACCCGTACCTTGTGAAGGGCCAGCAGCTTCTCATTGACAAGCTTCTCAAGAGCCAGGGTAAGCTCCATCGCTGCAAGACAACAGGGCAGCAAAGCAAGAAGAGCCGCATAAGCACAAAAGCCCAAATTCCAACCCTGAGCCCAGAACCGTGACAATATTCTCACCCCACAAGAGAGCGGAATGTGGACGTACCATATAGAGCATCGCCCTTCTCGGGGTGGTCGAATTCCATGGTCGCCGGCATCAGAATGGACTGCAGCTTCACCCGGCCACCACGCTTGTTCTGCAAGAATGGGAGCCATAATCATCATGAACGTGTGTCAGCGCGAAAAAGTCATGACATCCCACAACCCAGAAGTATATGATTTCAATTGCAATTTAGTGACTGGAGTTGTATATCCCAATGCTCTGTGTCATATTCAAACCCATATTCGCACCTGGTACTCCATCAGCTTCTCTGCATGCTCGCGCTCCTCCTCGCTGGCGGCCTTGAAGTACCTGCATTCCGCAGAAAGTAACATCAGTACATTGCACAGCACCTTCCCTGTCCGGTCTGCGGAATCTAAATGCAGGGTTGGTGTACACTCTTCAAAAAGGACACGGGTCAGCTTACTTGGCGAAGCCTGGCAGGGCCACGTTGTCCCGGTCGAAGTAGGCGTACAGCGCATGGTACACGTACGAGATGTTGTACTCGATACTGCACGGAGCAACAACCCTCGAAATCCAGTCAGCATACGTTCCAATCCTTATGAACAAATGTCAATCGTTCGAAAGTCCGATGTGGAAAATTCGATGAGTAGACATGTTTCGAAGCTCACTTAATCTGCTCGTTGATCCCAGCCTCGGCGGCCGATGAGTAGTTTTGCCGGGCAAAAGACTCCTGCGGCTGGATGACGGCGGGAACCTGGGTGAGCTGGCTCTGCACCTCCGCGAACGGCTCGAACACAACACCCGTCAACGTCGCCTCAGCTGTAGGCTTGGCCTCAGCGCGAACACCCGTGCGAACTCCGGATTTGACGAACGCGGGAGCCGGCTTAGTCTGTGATAGGGATCGACCGTCGGCGATGGTCTGGCCGAAGCTGGCAACGGATCGCGCCGCGGAGGTTGAAAGAGACGCCGCCATTGCTGATGGGGTTTTTGTCTGGATCAACTGGTATTACCTCGAGATCTGCGAGACAACGTGCGTGCCTTGATCAGGAACGGGAAGGAACTAAGTAGCTGATTCCAGAGAATATCTTAGATATTGGAGGGAACAAAAATCCAGGGCGGGAACTCACTCAAGCTCGTCGAGCTCGCGTGTTGGAGCGTGCGGACAACACGGAAAAAGCGCAGATGCTCCGACGGCGCGTAAATCCTTGCTGGCAGAGAGCAAGGCAGAGCAGGAAGAGGAGCAGAACTGGAAAAGGGCTGAACTGTTTCTTGAAACTGAGCTTCTTGGAACAGAAATGAAACAGGCACGCCTTTTACACGCATCCCAAACGGAAAAGAGAGGCTTCCAACAGTGAGGTGCTTTGCGTTTCAGAAAGGTTAGGAAGGGTTACGAGGAGAGTAATCTGTTTCGGGACTTTTGGTCAGGGAAGGTTGTTTCGGAGGGGTCGCAGGAGGGTTTCAGCGTCTGGTTTGCACACCGTCACCACGCATGGGGGAGGTGAGTTGCATGCTAAGCGGCCTACGTGGCTGCTGGACCACGTGTTAGCTCCGTGTTTTGCACACAGTCTTGAAACCCGTCCATGGGGGTTCGCCAATCACATGTTGAGGCAGGAAACGCTGTTCCGGGTGGTTCTTGAGTGATGTCACGTGGACCAATAGCCTGTTGACGAATCAGGTTGTGACAATCGAGGCATCATCAAATTCTGCCAAGTTCTCTAACGGGTTGTCCCAATTGTGATACATTATCTCATATTAGCACAGCTTCATATTCTTTTTACATAACACAACATTGTACAACACACAAAAATGCTACAACACAGCATGTATAGTGGCTTGTGCTAGCTTCTGGATTCTGCGAGCCTCCTCGTTTTGTGCATGTGAGGCTAAGGAAATCACCACACTCTGAAAGGAGGGTGTGAGAAAAAACACATGGAGAAAACAGCATGAGTATAAAGACTATGAGGACAAAAACTATGAGAATACAAAGACCATCCCAGTTCACTCACCTGCACAGCGCTGTTTATGGTAGCAGCAGTTGCTGGGTTGGCAGCACAAATTGCCGCGAGGCGTGGAATGGCAAGCAGCTGCTGCAAGACAGCTGGTGCCTCGTTCTCCCTCCCACGGCCCTGGTGGGGGGGGAGAGGGGGAAGTCCATTTGAATAACAAATATTGCTACGGTATCAGCTGCTGCACCACCCATTGAGCCCCATTCTACAAGTGTGCTTGAGTCAGCATGTTAATAACAGACGAAGGTACATGACAGTGTATAATCAACTTGTGAGATTATCGATACTCAGTGTATAGTCTCACCATGGCGATGAGGGCGTTGATGAGAGAAGCGTACGGCAGAGGCCATGCCGGGGCCAGCTGGAAGAGCAGACAGACAGCCAGAGACAGACGAAAACAGAGGGAGTGAATGACTGCGGGGAAGGAAGCGAGCAGCCTTGGCGAAAGCTGTGGAGGAGTCAAGAGTGCAGTGTATGAGGCAGTGCACAGACATGTAAATGCAGGGATTGGGGGGCGAAAGATGGATTCGGGGTTGCGATTTGGGGGTGCAGGGTTAAATTCGGGGATATGGGGAGGGAGGGAGGGAGGGATAGGGGCAGCACCACATATAGGTTCACCCAATCGCACGCAGCAAGTCTGAATGCTTCTAGTGCCCAGTCCTCGCACCTCCATAGCCCGGAGCAGAAACCGCTCGGAATCTTCCAGCATGCACTTCCTCCCCGCGCGCCCTGCCAGCTGGCCCTTGGGAGCCGCCTGCTCGCCGCTCCTGCCCGCCTGGTACCACAGCCATGCATCCTGCGGTCGCAGCCCCACCGCCCTCCTGAGGAGGGGTAGAGCCTCCTCAAAGCGTTGGGCTTCCAGGAGGTGGCGGGTTTGCGAGGTGAGGCGCCAGAGCATGAGGCTGCGCGCGTCTGCATGGGGGAATGACACAGCCGCCGCTTCTGCTGCTTCTGCAGATGGGGAGGAACGGCCGACCATGGCTACCGCCCAATTCCCAAGGTTTGCCTTTTCCTCTTCCTCCTCCAGCGCTTCCAGCTCTTGCTCGCTGAGTTCTGGCGGCAGGGAGAAGGTTCCCGGTGCCACGTCAGCACCTTCCTCCTGATTGGTGGGGGTTGGTGCGCTGGCCCACATGCGATATGGCGCTGCGGCTACTGCGGCTGATGTTGATGGTGATTGGACGGTGGAAGAGGAGGAAGGGGAGGGGGGAGGGGTGAGGGGTTCGGTTGGGGAGGGGAGGAGGAGGGAGTCGAAACAGAGTGAGGTGGAGGAGGAGGAGGGGTTGGGGAGGAGGGAGAAGACAGCCCATGGATGCAGGAGGAGGAGGTCGGAGGAGGCGAGTGAGACCTGTCGCGGTGTGGGCAAGTAGAGAGACAGCGACGGGAAGGGGAATAATGCAACAAGCCAGACTTCCAATTCGGATTCAGTAAAACTGAACTCCTTCTCAGCTCTGGACATTGAATATCAAACGTTAAATTAGGTTGTGAATCTTGTAACTTAGGATTCTTCATAGATTCCAAACCAACTGCCTCTAAAAAATTATTGGGAATTACGAACCCTGGGCGTACCTTGATGGGTGCTGGGAGCGGAAGTTGGTTTGGCCGGGGGAAAAGGTTCAGGGAAGGTTCCTTGTCAGCAGCGTCCAGCCAGTCGGCCACGAGCCAATGGCTATGCGGGAAGATCGCCAGCTGGGAAGACGCTGACGTGTCTGAAAAATGTGACGAGGTGGAACACACGATAACAAGCACGAGAAATCTAAGTTGAGAAAAAGGAAGAGGTTGAAGCAGTCATCAGACACACATGAGAAGAAGGAGCTAGAAGTTTTGATCGAATTGAAGAGGAATTTTATTTCCACGCTGGACCTCGTAATTGAAGGAGCTCCAACCATCTCTCATTACCCCGTAGTTATCTCACCTCTTAGGACCTCACCATACGAATCCACGTGGCGTTCTGGCAGCACTCACCGCTGGCGTTTTGGGTGGCAACCACAACAGTCAGAATCGCATCATCCAGACGCTGCCTACTCAGCTCCACGTCATCAGGCGGCGTGCAGGCGACCTGCCAGTTGTCGCTAACGAAGCTCGGGTCCTCGCACGTCTTGCCGTCCAAACAGCCCAGGCCAGCAGACCATTGACGAATCACAGTGTGCCACGTGGCCGGGCCCTGGTCCACATTGGTCCCCGTCACGTCCTCCACCACTCGAAGCGCGGAGGCTGGCAAGGACGGCAGGAGAGCCTTGGCTACTAGCGACGCGGGAGTGGAGATTAACTCAGCGTCCGACTCGGATTCCGATTCGGACGCTGTCGTTGGGAAGAGCTGAGCGGGAAGCTTAGGCAGCTCGGACCATTCCGTTGATTGCGGAAGCGCATCCTTGAGAATGACGAAACCTTCGCGAAGAAGCTGCTCGCGAATCTTCTCGACGTCGACAGACGCTTCTTCCTCCGCGTTTGCCGGCGCAGTAGACGCCTCAGTCGCTGGTTTCTCGAAACTCTCAGCGACTTCAACGGGGGCGGAAGATCCGCCGCTAATTGCGGTAGGAGGGAAGACGCCGATGCCGAGGAGATTAAGGCGCTGGCGGGACCCACCATTGCCGCTCTTGAGGAGCTGGCACGTTATGGTTGGCCGTCGTGATGCCACGTGGCAGCGAGGGGGAAGATTTTTTGTAATGAAAGGGCAGTTTAGAGGTGTTGAAGTAAATTCGGTGCGTGCGAAAGCAGCACGTGGGCCATCGTGGACAAGCGAGCGAGTCGGACACAAGGTCGCAGTAGCGGAAGCCATGACGTCGCAGAGTCTAGTTACAGAAGTAGGAAAATAATGTGCTGGTGCTTCAAAGGGGTAGTAACGAATAGGAGCTAGTGTGCTTCACAAGATAACACGAGGTAATGAAAGAGATAATGAGATTCTTGTGAATGATTGAAGCAATACAGTATAAATGGCTTGAATGAGGTCCGGAGAAACTTGGTCGAGCATACAACAAACTTCAAGGCTCGGAAATACCAATGTGCGAAACGGTTTTGCGACGCACTCGCTATGTGACATTGAGATTCGCCACAAACCGGTGCGAAGCTAGCGATGAAACGACAAGGAGATGTGCTAAGGTGGCGTCGCTGTGCGATCCGAGTACAAATTAGGTGTGTGCGGCTCCAGCTAAGGCTCCACGCTGGAAACTTCGCCACGTCATTTACATATGTCTGCAGGATTTGTGTCATCGTCAGCCGCGGCCCGCGGCGCTGTGGGGCAGGCGTAGCCTGGACACGAGCCACGCGTGCGAGAGAGGTGATTCTGATTGGATTTCGGCCCCTAGAAGCACGTGCCGGAAGTTGGCTGCCCCAGAGATCGGCAACTTTGCCGAGGCACTTCGCGAAAGAGATCCAGTTGTTCGCCGTATCAGGCCTCAACCCTGTGCGCTCCAGATTCCCTGCTCGGGTGGTAACTTTCGATCGAAACTGCCATCGCTTGGTCGGTGTTGACGGGTCCAGTAGCAGGAGGGATGAGCTTGCCCGCTAAGGGATATCCTCACCCAAGCAGTACATTATAGTTTGCTTGGAAAATGTACTAAGAAACCCACACATTATGATTCATAATCCCTGATAATTGGTGCCCATGCATGAACATGGGTAGAAATAATATATTATTGGCTCTACTGGCAAGATAACGGGATATGAACATGAATACACATGATAAACATCAAGTACGATGAGAAATAAAACAGCATGGACTTGGTCTGTTGCACCTTCTGTGCATGAACCCTGCACATACTACTATCGTCATCAACTGGTTCCCTCCTCCCTCAACTCTTGGAACCAACACCTGAAGCGGCATCGGTACTCTTCCCCACGCCCATCTCATCCCCAAACCTCTCTCTCAGCATCGCATGCCAGTCATGAATACACATCCTCCGCGACGAGTCATAAAACCAGAACCGATTCTTCACCAACCTATCCTTCTTCGCCTCCTTCCCCGAAATCCAATTATTATGCAGAATCGTACACCCGCTGCACGCATTCGCCACATTCGGCTGATTCCAGAAGTCATGCACAGCTCCATTCGGGTACATATCCCTCGGCAGGAAAATCGTCCGCAAACCGTTGCTCCACTGACATTCCTCGCGGTGGACCTTCCTCCCGTCAGCATCCACCACGCTTTCCGGAAGCAGCAGCTCCCCCTTCTCCCCACAGAGAACATCGTAAAAACTCGGCTGTTCGGACAGTTGAGTCTTGGCTGCATGCGCAACAATCGCCTCGAATCCCTTCACAGTCATGGGATCCGCTCGTGCGAAATAAAATCCCGAGTTGATCCGCCGAATCCCCGTGCCTGACAGCGTCGCGTTCGGCTCGTTGCTCTGGATCGGGAACGTGCCAGGCCCGTACGAAAGCAGGTGCGGGAGAGGGTCGGAGAACCACACAATGTCCACGTCAGACCAGAGGACTGAGTATCCAGCCTTAAGAACCCTCAGCACCGCGCGGGATTTCAGCTTGGTGAATTGCCGGAAGCACTTGGTTCCGAACTGGCACTGGCCCTGATCTATTCCCCTCATTGTCGTACTCGCGCGTTCGTAAAACACCGCAAGGCCTTGAGTGAATGCAAACCGGTACAAGTCCTCGTCTAGGGCCGCCACAACGAGGTTATTCCCGAGCCCCAGTTTCCGCAAGTTACACACGAAGTTCATCAGCATCTCGGCGTAACCAAATGTAACCGCGACCAGCGTTACCACCTTCAGCTCCTTGGGCTTCCCAGCCCCGGCAGCGCCTGGCAAGGGAACGTCCGGGACGATCCTGGCCAGCTGCGGTAACAGCTGCTCCATGGTGTGAGGGAGACCGACGGTGGAGTTGGTGCGGGCGACAGCGTTGATTGCGAAATCGGCGCGGCGATCGATGGAGACGACGCCGCAGACCCAGAAGTCGCCCGAGTGATGCTTGCGCGGGTCGGACTGGGTTTTGTACTCGTAGGCGGAGTACTCGCAGGAGCAGTTGGCCGGCCGCTCGCGCTTCAGCATGCATATGTTCAGCGCTGGGGGGGAAACGGATGGGGGTGTGTGTGGGGGGGGGGGGTGGAGGAGGGAGTTCAAAAAGGGGGGACGTGGGGAATGGGGGAACGAGGAAAGACTTCAGCATGCAGATGTTCCAGCGCTGGGGGAGAGAGTGCAATAGAGCGGGGAAATGGAAGAGATCGAATGGGAGTCAGATTCAAAAACATGCACATGTTCGGAAGGGAGCATGCACAAGCACTAGAAAGGAAGCGGGGGAGGAGAAAAGGAGAGGGGAGGGAGAGGGAGGGAGAGGGGGACGGGACGGGACGGGAATGGAGAGAGTGGCCAAAGGGGGAGGGGGAGGGGGAGGGGGAGGGGGAGGGGGAGGGGGATAGGGATGGGGGAAGGGGAGGGTGGGAGGCCTTTCTATAACAGCACTGCGAATGACTCACAATCAGGTTCGTAGCACGAGGAGAGCCGCCACGGCGTGTGCAGCGCCGTTCCCTTCTGGTTGGTATACGTGCCGTGCGTCTCCGCCAGGTGAATATTCGCGAACAGCTCCCAGCTGCTCTTCTTCCGCGTGCTCCAAAAATGCCCGCCCGCCTTGCTCTCCTCCACGCGCACGTGCGAGTACGTGTGCGCCACGTGGATGCTCGTGATCGCGTCGCTCGCGTCGACCACCTGTCGCAGCCCGCTCGCGACCGCCTCGTGCACGAACCAGTTGTCGTACTTCCCGCGCCCGAACGAAAACGGCGGCATGTGCGCCGAGAAAAGCGGAACGTTGGGAACGTTGTTCCACACCCACAGGTCCACCCCGCCGTAGGTATGCAAGCTCCCCTCCCGCCGCACGAACCGGCGGATCTCCGCCTCGCGCTGCGCCTCCGCCATCATTCCGACCGGCCCGGGCTTCCGCCGCCACGCGTCTTTCTCAAACGAGTACGGGAAGTCGACCGCGACGTCCCAGCGCGACGCGGTTAGGATCCACTCGCTGAAAAAGGCCTGCACGCGCCCGATCGCGGGGACGATGTCGGAGAGGAGAATAATATCCCCGTTGATCAGCATCGAGAGCGGCGTGTCCGCCGCCTGCGCGCGCGCGACCATCGCGTGAAACAGCGGCACGCCGTAGAAATTAGTGTCGATTGTTGAATCGACGAACACGGACCCCGGGAATTCCTGCGCGAGGAGATCGAAGCTGGGATCGGATCCCAGCAGCACGACCTTGGGTTGCGGGCGGAGGCGCAGCCACGAGAGCAGCGCGCGGCGCTGCGGGTCCTCCGGGGTGTTTAAGTACGGCTTCGGAGCGCAGAAGATGGTCATGGAGGGAATATCTCTCGCCCAATCAGGAAGCGGCATGTTTTGATTGTGGACCATGTCGAGATCGTCCACGTCGACAAGATCGTCGGATGACGCGGCGCGGAGGATGCGCCGACGTGGCAGGCTCGGCGCGTCCGGCCAGTCGTCCATTCCGGGGAAGGCTTCCCCCGACGATGCGCCGTCGCCGTGACCGGCGCCGGAACGTGCGGCGGAGGAGTCGGTTCCGCGAAGGGATCGGTTATGCCTGTGGAAGGGGAGGGAGGGGCCACGGGCGGGATGACCGAGGAATGAGAATCCCGATTGTTAGAGATTACAGATACATGCCTTCAGAGGCGGCCCTAAGAGGCACCTGGTGAGGCGCGCGGTTGTTGGATACTGACGGATGCGCGTAGGGGAGATGGCGGACCCCGACGAACGATGACAATACCTTAGACGACCTAGGACGAACAACAAATACCTAACAACGATACCTTGGGAGAGTCGACGGCAGCACGAAGGCATGCACGGTGAGGTAGATGGTGAGGGCGATGGCGAAGTTGGGGATGAACTCCGCCACGCGCTTTCCCACCCGCCCGTTCGCCCACTGCTGAAACGAATCCGCCGCGCACTGGTAACCCAAACTCGCCCGTTTCGCATAGGTAACACTAGGAGGGGTTCCTGTGCTTCTGAGACCGGTTGCGGCGCCGGCAGACAAGCTAGTGGCGACTCGAGTTGAAGAATAAGATGGTTGGGTGAGCGGCCGCTTATTAGGAGAGATTAAAGCCTTTGACAGGGACCCGGACGAAGCTTCGACGACGTGGGTGGAAATTCGTGGCTGCGTGCGAACCCGCCTGATTTCAACCTCGGGTGGGCAGCGCGGGGAGACGTTAAGAGAGGACGACGTCCCTTGGTCCAGGAATGACGTGGCTTGGACCACTGACGACGTGGCTTCGGCTTGAACCAGCGTGCCGGGTATTGGCTGCGATTCGTGGGTAGGCTCTTCACTTCTTAGGTTGCCTGACAGGTTACTGAGAGAATTCGACCGTAGGAGGGAGGGTTGTTGCGGAGGTGAGGAGGAGCGCGCTAAGAGTTCAATGTCATCCATGGTTTCTCACGCCACTGGCAACACGCGTGGTGCCCCAACACAGCCTCCCTACTAAAGCTTGGGGACGGTGACGGGCGCTGAGTCAGCAATGGGAGATCGGAAAATGCGAGTCGAGAGAAAGGCGAGACGAGTAAGTGGAAGAAAGTGAGAGCAGAGCGGAGTCGAAGGGGAAGAGGGAGGAGCAGTTCATTTTTACTGGGCACTTCTTGTTCAATTCGAACGGTTGAGTACGATAATGTACATTCCGAAATGGTTTTTATTGCTTCTTAGCCACTCTGAAACTCACCTTAGTATTTTTATGGATGAACCGTGAACGAACTTATGGGACTGCGCTGAGGAGGAGTGATGGTATGGTTTGTTTGGCTAATCGCCGAGACCAACCGAACTAAAACTAATGATAACGTACAGAACCACCTACCGTCAATCGAACTTGTCGTGATACGTCGAACTCTCAGAAGGGTTTGGCGTTTTCTGAAATTCTTCACAACCACCCTCGTCAAGATCGGGACCTGGAGGTATGACGGTGTAGCACAGCAAGCGCATCATCGAATCGCAGCCGTTGAAGTCGTTAGACGTCTTGTCGTTCGTTCGGGGCTCGCTCACACGCACAGCACACCCTTCGCCTTGGCCTCCTGCCCTTCACCTTTGCCATTCGTCAAATGTACAGTACTGTACAGCTGCCCTTAGAGCGTGTTACGTACCCCTTATTTTGGGGCCCGGTCGCGGTTGCCTCAAACATGCCGGTTGGGTTGAACGTAGGGTTACCGGATAACCCTACGCTCTACAGTGTACAGTAATGTACGTGCGTACCATACCCGTCTGGCAGCTGGTCGAGGCAACCACGTAGTCGGGCAACCGACTGGTCTCGACCAGGTACAACCGTATTGAGGCAACCAGGGTTGAACGTACCTAACCGCCGCGCAAACAGAGGGTGCACGAAAACATTGCGGGCAGGTTGCACTAGCGAGACTTGATGTGACTGGTGCAATCAAAATTTCATCAAATTTTGGCCACTAAGATTGACACAGTGACTGTTGGGTCTACCCGAAATACTGTTGGCACGGTTGGGTCCCAAAAGCAGGCGAGTGGTACATTTGCAGGTTGCCTGCTAGGTACCCAACCGGCCAAGTTGACAGCCCCGGTTGACCTGACCAGTCAGGTTGAGTCGACTTTTGGAGGCAACCGGGGCCTAACACCAAAATAAGGGGTACGTAACACGCTCTTACAGCTCCTGTATTGCACCATGCAGTTCCTTTGTCAATTGGATTGGAAACAGTGCACGCTTCCCCCTCCTCCGCCCCCACTTCTCCACAAGGCACAAGCGCAGCATGTTCTGTTGTCAGCTGACAGTGTGCTGCATTTGGTTTGGGGTAGAGAGGTCAAGGATGCGCAAACTGCTCTGTGATACACACGATGCCCGGTTGAGCCCCCCGACCTCGCCTTACCCTCTGGGCTTATAAGCGATTCTCGCTTCGCTTGAAGATTTCGTCAATTCGCATCGGGCAAAAAGGGCTTATAAAAAACAATTGTAACTCAACGCTGACTGTTTGACTTTGGTCTCGTCAGTCAAACTTCAGTTTCTGTGGTTCGTATTGGTCGACGTGCTTGTAACGTGGGTGCAACGTCACGGCACAAAACCCACGGGTGCAAGGTTTCCATCTGGCGCAAGGCAATTTCGCGTGCAGGAGGTGAGCATCAGGTGTACTCGTGATACAAGGTCACGCGCTTACTCATACGAACCTAATTCACCTGAACTCAAAGTTCTTGTTAATCATATTCGTGTAATACTTGTGCGTCAGCATTCTATGGATATTAAACTCTCCGCTTTTATCGAGAATAAAACTGACCGACCTCAGCCGAAACTCGCGCTGGCTGCAATCGGACGTGGTCTGTGTGGTGGTGTTGGTGAAGTCTGTTCTGCTGACTACAGCGCTGTTCCGTGCCTTGCTAAGTGCGGGTGCTGACACACTCTCCCCCAATTAATCAGAAACACCTAAAAAGCAGGGCACAGCGTGCGCTTTAATTTCCTTGCCAAAGGGCTTTTGCAGTATCTAAGCCGTGAAACCTCGTCTGTTGCGTTATTTCTTGAACGCGCCCCAAATAAACCCTCTGTTTCCGAGCGCTTCGGTTCTGCGAGTGACATGCGCGCTTCGCGTCGACCCTCTGCGTCATTTGCTCACCGCCCTTTGCGCTCCTCTCCTCTCCGAACCATTTCCCCGAATCCAGCTCCATCTGCTTCTTTCCCAAGCCAGCCTTTCTGTCCGACTCTTTCCCAACAGCTCAGATCCAGAACTGGTTGAGGTTCAATAAGAGATAGTCACACAACCACAACACTTTCCATCCCTCAACCCTATCACGGAGTTTTCTATCTTCTGAGATTCATTATCCATAGGTTCCGGGGGTCACGCCGGCTTACGTAGTCACTGCCTTTAGGACCATACCTCCATTCGCATTTTGTTTCGTCCAGGTCGGCGAGTAACATGTCGCCACGTGTCGCCAGAATGCTCGCTGTACTGAGCATAGCAATAGCCGCCACGTGTGCAGCTGGGCAAACGATCGACCCTTCACAACGTACGGACAGGCATCAGAGAACGATATTGGGTTTTTTTTTCTTTTTTTTTTTTTGGGCTGTTTAGGAGCCAAAAGTCGAATACTACGTCTCAGTCTTACCATGAAGGTCAGTAGTCTTATTCTGCCGTATCGACCGATGGCCCCAATTCAGCTCTAGTACCTTGCTTTCGGTCCGTTCACTCCGTGCCGCTTTCTAAGCGCTCCCTGCGCCCATGGCTTTTGAGTTGTCTCAATAATTACAACTCTTTCCGCAAATCCTGCGCCCTACCTCTCCGCTTCTTCCGCCAGTTCCCGCGTTGGCGGACCTGCAAGCGTCTTTCGGACTCAATTACTCCTCGTGGGGGGAAGGCGGAGACTGCTACAAGGCGAGCTTTCTGCGGTGCGACAGCGACGGCATGATAACGGAAATGTGAGTCGGCTTGCAACGAGGGATCTCGAGTCGCCTGAGTTGAACAATTCCGCCGCATCATGGGAGGAGCGCGACGACGACAATAAGCCGCCGAGTGGCCAGGCGAAAATGCACCGCGCGCGCAAGAAGTATCGCGCGCGCCTAGTCGCGCGCGCCAGCAATATCGCGCGCGGCGGCATTACCCCGCGCCCGCATTACCACGCGCCCCTAAATCGGCCGGTTTTCTCATGTCTTGAATTCATCTTTCCGCAACATCCACACGCTCGAGTTTGAGACGCATGAATTCTCAGTTTTCTGGTTTCAACGTTCCAATTTCTTCTCATCGACTTTGTCTCAAATTTCCTCCTCTCGCAGCAATCTTGGAGCGAGCGGCCTTCTCGGATCCCTGCCTGGGTCCATCAGCGGACTAGTGAATCTCACCAGCATGTGAGTGTACCAATGTGATTATGCAGCAGGAATTCTACCGATGTGATTTTTGGTAGGTCAATCAGAGGAGAGGTCACCTTCGGGTTTAATCTAACCAGCATGTGAGTGTACCAATGTGAATTGGCGATGCGACTGTATTGATGCTTTTGATTCTGCGTCGACTCAGCAGTCAGTTTGTCGGCACTCTGCCTGGGTCAATTAGCGGACTAGTTGACGTCACAAGCATGTGAGTGTACCAATGTGATTATGCAGCAGGAATTCTACAAATGTGATTTTTTGTAGGTCAATCAGAGGTCACCTTCGCGGTTAATCTCAACAGAATGTGAGTATTCTGATGTTTGAGTATGACGATGTGACTAAAACGACGTGATCGCACCACCATATGGCCGTATGTACCGATGTGATGTGAGCCGGGATGAATTACCATGTGATCTGACTGTTGCGCTTCACAATTCGTTTCACACTCGTGCTCACATTCGTTTCAGTCCGACTCCATACCTGAAACCAGCCAGACCTCCCCCCATTTCCTCCTCCTCCTGTCGTCGTTTTTTCTTGTTCTCCGTCCCGTCCCCCCTTCCTTCCCCCGTATCTTTGTCGGTGGCACAGGGTTTTATGCGTCAACGGGCTGACAGGGCCGATTCCCTCCACTATAGGCACACCCACTATCTCTCTCCCCCTTGTTTTGCCGTTCTCCCGTCATTTTTCCCCCCGCCTATTCCCCTATTCCCCTGCCCTCTTTCGACCACGCCACACAGTGATCTAAGCGCCAACGGGCTCACAGGGCCGATTCCCTCCACTATAGGCGCACTCGCTAAGTTGAAACGGATGTGAGTGATTCTTCCCGCTACAGGCTCGCTCCACTCTGCAGGCGCTCTCGTTGTGAGCACACTGCGCTATAGGCAGGCACACTACAGTACCACTTCAGTTCAGCCGCAAGTGGCTTAAAGGGTCATATTATTATTCATCAGTCCGTGTTTTTTTTTTTTTTTTTTTTTAATTCTCAAAAACACTCGCTTCATCAGTCCCCGTTCATCGCACGACACTGCTCTTGAACACCTTCATCATCTTCAAGAGCCGGACGACGTGATAACTGCTCTTCATCACCTTCACTGCTTTATCCCCCTCATCCGGCTTCCCCAATCCCGTCGCATCTCCCCCATCTCCCCCACCTCCCCCATCTCCCCCATCTCCCCCATCTTCCCCATCTCTCCCATCTCCCCCATCTCCTCCACCTCCCCCACCTCCCTGGACAAACCATCGTGTTTCCCCCTTTCTTTCCCTCCTCCCCCCACCCTTCCCCCGCCCTCTTGTTTCTCCCGTTTCCCACTCATCTCATCTCAACTCATCCTCCTGCTTCTCCACACCCCCCTTCCCCCCACCAGGCAGCTAGACAAGAACACGTTCGAAGGCAACCTCCCTATATCCCTTGACAAACCATTGTGTTTCCACCATTCTCGCCCTCCCCGTGTTTCTCCTGTTTTCCCCTCACCTCACCTCACCTCACCTCACCTCACCTCACCTCACCTCACCTCACCTCACCTCATCTTCGTGTTTCCACAACCCCCCTCCCCCCCACCAGCCAGCTGGACAGGAACACGTTCGAAGGCAACCTCCCTATATCCCTGGGCCGGCTCACCAACCTCACGTCCCTGTAAGTCAAATTCCGTGCGCTTCAATGAAAAGGGCGGCCCTGGTAGGACCCAAGCTGCACCTTTCAGGGCAAAGCCTCAAAGGCAACTTCCGTATATCCCTGGGCCGGCTCACCAACCTCACGTCCCTGTGAGTCAAACCCCGTGTGCCTCAAATCCTTTTTTGAGAATTCTCAAACCCCGTGTGCCTCAAATCCTTTTTTGAGAATTCTCAAACCCCGTGTGCCTCAAATCCTTTTTTGAGAATTCTCAAACCCCGTGTGCCTCAAATCCTTTTTTGAGAATTCTCAAACCCCGTGTGCCTCAAATCCTTTTTTGAGAATTCTCAAACCCCGTGTGCCTCAAATCCTTTTTTGAGAATTCTCAAACCCCGTGTGCCTCAAATCCTTTTTTTAGAATTCTCAAACCCCGTGTGCCTCAAATCCTTTTTTGAGAATTCTCAAACCCCGTGTGCCTCAAATCCTTTTATGAGAATTCTCAAACCCCGTGTGCCTCAAATCCTTTTTTTGAGAATTCTCAAACCCCGTGTGCCTCAAATCCTTTTTTTGAGAATTCTCAAACCCCGTGTGCCTCAAATCCTTTTTTGAGAATTCTCAAACCCCGTGTGCCTCAAATCCTTTTTTGAGAATTCTCAAACCCCGTGTGCCTCAAATCCTTTTTTGAGAATTCTCAAACCCCGTGTGCCTCAAATCCTTTTTTTAGAATTCTCAAACCCCGTGTGCCGCAAATCCTTTTTTGAGAATTCTCAAACCCCGTGTGCCTCAAATCCTTTTATGAGAATTCTCAAACCCCGTGTGCCTCAAATCCTTTTTTGAGAATTCTCAAACCCCGTGTGCCTCAAATCCTTTTTTTGAGAATTCTCAAACCCCGTGTGCCTCAAATCCTTTTTTGAGAATTCTCAAACCCCGTGTGCCTCAAATCCTTTTTTGAGAATTCTCAAACCCCGTGTGCCTCAAATCCTTTTTTGAGAATTCTCAAACCCCGTGTGCCTCAAATCCTTTTTTGAGAATTCTCAAACCCCGTGTGCCTCAAATCCTTTTATGAGAATTCTCAAACCCCGTGTGCCTCAAATCCTTGAGGCGCCTAAAAGACTAGACCACGTTTCAGTGGGGACAACCTCCCTATGTCTCTAGGCCGGCTCACAACTCTCACTTCCTTGTACTGACGTCAAGGACATCTAGCACTGACTGACGTCACCACCTCCACTTGGGAGTTTCTCAGGTAAAAGCTCAGAATCAATGCAGCTGGTGCTGTTGCTGCATGCAACTAGCAGCCGATCACTTTACGGGATCCATACCCGCTGAACGGCTTTGTGGTTTGTTGAGAATCATACCTCCCTGCCTGCTCCTCCTCCTAACCCAATTGCCCCCGTCCCTCCCCTGTCTCCCTTGCTCCAGGGACCTAGCAGCCAATCACTTCGCTGGTTCCATACCCGCTGAACTGGGCAACCTCGTTAACCTGCAGTACCTGTAATGCACCGTGTCCTTCCCCTCTCAACCCCTCTCAACCCCTCTCTACCCCTCTCCACCCCACCTAACGTCCACCTAACATCCGCATGCTGTTCGCAACGGGTATCCAAATTCCACCTCTTTTTAAAGCCAGGGTCTCAAGTGACCAAGTGCTTTGCAGTCGATGAAAAACGGGCCTGTCTGATTGGTTTACAAATTTGGGGCCAAAGTTTTGACAAATTGAGACTCTCCAAAGAGCCCACTTTTCGCCCAAGTGCTTTGCAGTTGCACGGCCAACCCTTACATGAGACCCTGGCTTTAACCGAATTACAACCTTGCAGCAGAATCTCACACTGAACGAAAAACACACTCTGAAGAAAACGCAAATTAAATTCCGCTTTCATTCCGCTTTCATTCCGCTTTCATTCTGCTTTGATTCATACTATACCACCCACCACCCACAGCCAGCTGAACGACAACTATCTAACCGGCAGCATCCCGGCCTCCTTCTCCCAACTCGACCAGCTGCAATGGCTGTGAGTGCAAGAGAGGGAGCTCTTGCAAGAGGGGCAGCGCATGCAAGAGAGGCAGCTCATGCAAGAGAGGCAGCTCATGCAAGAGAGGCAGCTCATGCAAGAGAGGCAGCTCATGCAAGAGAGGCAGCTCATGCAAGAGGGGCAGCTCATGCAAGAGAGGGAGCTCATGCAAGAGGGGCAGCTCATGCAAGAGAGGCAGCTCATGCAAGAGAGGGAGCTCATGCAAGAGAGGGAGCGCATGCAAGAGGGCCGCCTCTCCCGCGGCTGCTACTAAACCTGAAGGGGCAGTGGGTGGTGGTGTTAGCAGCAGCAGCAGCAGCACAGTGCTGGGACTGGCTCTTGCCCTACTGGTGCTGCTGTAAACACGGCGGTCGCTTCTGTTGCTCTGCTCTGCCTCCTCCCTCTCCTGCCTTCGCTCCTACATACTTTTGAGGCGCCTCAAAACTAGGCTTCTGTTGATTTGCTTTGCATCCTCCCTCTCCTGCGGTCGCTCCTACAGCTAAGGGGGCATCTTCTGACTGTGTTAGCAGCGGCAGCAGCAGCATAGCGTTTGACCTGCTCTTGTGCTTGCTGCTGCTGTCATGGCAGCATGATTAGTGGCTACACTGGTTCAGCTGTCATGTGACTAAGCGCCTGTTGAATCAGCTGAACCAGTCACTTGCACTTTCGCCCTGGTGTGTCCTTCTGCAATGCACGTGGCAAACCCTGCCAAACCTCATTGCCAACAGTTCAAATAAGCAACCAGGTCTTTTTGGCTCACAGAACCAGCGCTGTGAAGCAAAGAATGTGTGAAATGAAATGTGAGAATCTCCAGCTTTACGGGTTTTGTGATGGAAGTGGCTCATCCAGCTTGCGTGGCCTCACCTGAACTCATGAATGTATGCTGCATTGAGTGCAACAGGGCTTAGACCAGAGTCTTGAGCACAAGCAGTGCAGCAGAGCAAGATGCATTGTATACCAAAACAGCAGATGCGATTCCATGCCGAGTGTTGCCTTTCACACGAGTCCACTATCAATGTATCGCTCTGCAGCAGCTTGGGTACCTAGGCTGCCTGCTTACTTCGGCAAGCCTGCCAAATCGACTCTGTGCTCATGAAGAAGGGCAGCAGTAGTGTCTCAGTCAAGGCTAGCAGCTAGGCCAGCACACCATCCGGCTGGCTTGCACCCTACAGAGAATTCTAAAAAAAAGTAATATGCCAGCACCCATGTTGCGTGCGTGACCAACCTACGAATTCTCAAAACTGCGGTATTACTTTCGATTCGAATTGAAGCCGCTCTGAGGCCTTTGAGCCTGACCCATCTGCCAAACTGGCAGCAGTGCATTTTTCAGTCAAAAGAGCCTCCGCAGAATGACCAAGAGAGCAGTCTAAAGCCATGTAGATTCCTGCCAAAGGGGCAGGCAGCGTCTTTGCTCTCAATCCAGCAGTTTAGCCACCACGCCAGCACCCACGGTGCGACCACCCTCTCGTAGAGCAAAGCGTTGGCCTGCAGGGGGGAGGGCAGGGGGGAGGGCAGGGGGGAGGGCAGGGGGGAGGGCAGGGGGGAGGGCAGGGGGGAGGGCAGGGGGGAGGGCAGGGGGGAGGGCAGGGGGGAGGGCAGGGGGGAGGGCAGGGGGGAGGGCAGGGGGGAGGGCAGGGGGGAGGGCAGGGGGGAGGGCAGGGGGGAGGGCAGGGGGGAGGGCAGGGGGGAGGGCAGAGGAGAGGGCAGAGGGAGAGGGCAGAGGGAGAGGGGGAGAGGCGCAGGTGTGTATTTTTGAGGCGCCTTTTGAGGCGATTTTTGAGGCGCCTTTTGAGGCGATTTTTTAGGCGCCTCAAAAATAGACGCCAGCACCCACGGTGCGACCGCCCTCTCGTAGGGCAAAGCGTCGGCCTGCAGGGGGAAGGGCAGAGATGTGTGTGTGCGCGCGCACGCGTATGCGTGTATGTGGGGGACAAGAACGTGAAAACACATAGACATACCTGCAGCAGCATCAAACAAAGAAACCAGTAACCTCGAATCCTCACAGAGACGGCGACAGGGAGACAGAAGGGGCAACGCTTACCTGCTTCGATAGCCACAGGGGACAGCAGCTCAAAGGTGGCAGTCACATTGTCCCCCGGCATGACCATCTTGACTTCGTCTGGCAGAACCACCTTGCCACTGAGTCCCCCTTCCAGGTCCGAACCACCTCACATCTTACCCGCTTCGATGGCAACGGGGGACAGCAGCTCAAAGGTGGCAGTCACATTATCCCCCGGCATGACCATCTTGACTTCATCCGGCAGCACCACCTTGCCGGTGACATCAGCGGTGCGCAGATAGCACTGCGGGCGGTAGTTGGAGAAGAAGGCCGTGTGGCGCCCGCCCTCCTCCTTGGTCAGCACGTAGATCTCCGCCTGGAACTTCTGAGACGTCTTGATGGACCCGGGCTTGCACGCGACTTGCCCCCTTTGGACGTCTTCTCGCTTCAATCCTCGCATCAGCAGCCCCACATTGTCTCCTGCCTGCGACCCAAGGGATGGGGAAGTGGATAGGCAAGCACAAACAGGTTGGAAGTGTTTGTTTGGCAGCAAGTGCCGCCCGCCCTCCTCCTTGGTCAGCACGTGGATCTCTGCTTGGAACTTCTGAGACGTCTTGATCGGCCCCGGCTTGCACGCGACTTGCCCCCTTTGGACGTCTTCGCGCTTCAGCCCTCTCGTGAGCAGCCCCACGTTGTCTCCCGCCTGTGATCCAAGGGCATAAGTGTGGAAGGGCATAAGTATGGAAGGGCATAAGTATGGAAGGGCCAAAGCATGACTTAGAACCCCCCACTAGGCCGTGTGCTGCCCCCGCCCTCCTCCTTGGTCAGCACGTGGATCTCCGCTTGGAACTTCTGAATGGTTTTAATGCAGCCAGGCTTGCATGCCACCTGCCCTCGCTGCACGTCTTCCCTCTTCAGTCCTCGCATCAACAGCACAATATTGTCTCCCGCCTGCAGCATCAGAGTGACGAACAGCAGCAGGAGGGAGGAACACCAGTGCGAATGAGCGCACAAGGGTGGAGGGGTGGAAAGGCAGTGTGCATATGGTGAAGCGCACACAGAACCGAGTGCCACCCGCCCTCCTCCTTGGTCAGCACGTAGATCTCCGCTTGGAACTTCTGAATGGTTTTTGAGGCGCCTCAAAAGAACCGTGTGCCGCCCGCCCTCCTCCTTGGTCAGCACGTAGATCTCCGCCTGAAGCTTCATCCTGGCTTGCATTGCATTGCTACTTGAGCCCTCGCATCAGCAGCCCCACGTTGTTTCCCGCCTGAGAACACAAGTGGAGGCGCGGGCAAGCTAGGAAACTCTGGGAAGGAGAAAGGTGGGGTGGGACTAGGGGCCCGGGCCCCCCTCGTCCCACCCCACCTTACTCCCTTTTGCTGCCATCATCCCACCCGCCTCTCATGGAGGATCTTCTTGAACCGCCTCTCATGGAGGATCTTCTTGAACCGCCTCTCATGGAGGATCTTCTTGAACCGCCTCTCATGGAGGATCTTCTTGAACCGCCTCTCATGGAGGATCTTCTTGAACCGCCTCTCATGGAGGATCTTCTTGAACCGCCTCTCATGGAGGATCTTCTTGAACCGCCTCTCATGGAGGATCTTCTTGCACCTCCCCTTCATCCAACTCCGTGATAAAAGTGATGCTTTGAGACGTCTAAAAACATCTTCTTGCACCTCCCCTTCATCCAACTCCGTGATAAAAGTGATGCTTTGAGACGTCTAAAAACATCTTCTTGCACCTCCCCTTCATCCAACTCCGTGATAAAAGTGATGCTTTGAGACGTCTAAAAACATCTTCTTGCACCTCCCCTTCATCCAACTCTCCACCCACATACACTGCCGACCCACCCATCCACCCACCCCAATACCTACCGAATCCACCCTCTTCAATCCCCAATCCCCAATCCACCCTCTCCCCTCTTCAATCCCCGATCCCCAATCCACCCTCTCCCCTCTTCAATCCCCGATCCCCAATCCACCCTCTCCCCTCTTCAATCCCCGATCCCC